GGAGATGTGGAGGCGGCTCCTGGCTTCAGATTGGTTCAGCTCCAGCCTTTGCAGCCACTTGGAGAGTGAGCCAGTGCACAGAAGATCTTTCTCTGTGTATCTCCTCTCGATAAATCTGATCTGCCTTTCCAACTTCAAAAATATACATATATAGTTAAAAATACATCTATGTATTTGAAAGGCAAAGAAATCATATGTGGGGACAGACCTTCCACCTGGTTCACTCCCCAGATAGCTGTAACAGCCAGAGTTGGGCCACGCTGGAGCTGGGCACGAGGAACACCATCTGGGTCTTCCATGTAGGTGACACAGGCCAAAAACCAGGGCCATCATCGGCTGTCTTTCCAGGCAGATTAGCAGGGAGCTGGATTGAAAGCACAGCATCCAGGACTAACTGGCTCTAGTTCTCGTTAAGAGACTTTATTTCAGGGGTCAGCGCAGTCCTGTTTCAGGCTAATCCTATAACCTGTGGCATCGGCACCCCGGCATCCCATATGGGTGTCGATTCATGTCCCCTGGCCACTCTCCTTTGTATCCAGCTCTCTGCTAATGACCTGGGGATGCAACCAAGGATGGCTCAGTGCTTTGGGCCTGGGTACCAATGTGGAAGACCTGGAGGAAACTCTTGGCCTCTGGCTTTGGACTAGCCCAGCTCTGGCTATTTAAGGCTATTTGGGGAGTGAACCAGTGGATGGAAGATCTCTCTCCCTGTCTCTCCTTCTCTCTGTCACTCTTTCAATTAAGATGAATAAATCCTTCTTTAAAAGAAGCAAGCTTTATTTATTTGAATGGCTCTTTGACAGAGAGAGAACGATCTTCATTTTGCTTATTCACACTCCCAGTGACTACAACAGCTAGGGCCAAGAAAAGGCCAGGAGCCAGGAACTGCATCCAGTTCCCCCACGGGGATGGTAGGGATCCAAGTCCATGGCTCACGATCTGCAGCCTGCATTAGTAGGTGCATTATTAGGGAGCTAAATGGAAAGTGGATCAGCTCGCCCTTGGATGGCACACAGCAGCATCATAAGCAGCAGCTTAACTCCCTGAGCCACAATGTCAGTCCCACTTTTTAAATCCATGACGAGCAAAGGGGTAACCAGGGACTCGGGTTGTTCAGTTCCAATCCTGAGAGGCCAGGGCTGACCTGCCCCACCTTCGGCTGTTGGCCTCACCTTACAGCTGACCCCAGGGATCCGTGGTCTCTCCTCATCACCCACTGCCTGGAGACGGAGGCGAGGCCAAGATAATCACCCTTTTACAGGGTGGGAAATTGGGGTTCACTGGGCTGAGCTCACTGGTCTATGGTCACACAGGTCTGTCCTGACAGGTCCTTACTGCAACGGGAGGGGAGCTGACTCAGATTGTGGCCACAGGAAGCCCACAGGACATTCATGGGAGCCAGGAGCCAGGCTGGGTAAACTATTATTATGGCAATGGAACGAGTAGAAGTTGGGCCGGCAGCTGCCTGGGGACCAAGGGGCCTGAAGCCTATCTGAGCAAAGGATTGGAGTCGCTTCTGAGGCTTTGTTTGGTTTTGTTTTTTTACTGTATGTATTTTTCATGGTTCCTGATTGACTTTATTATCTTTTAAAATATTAATTTTTATTGCAAAGACAACAGATATGGAGAGAAGAAAATACAGAGAAAAAGATCTTTCATTCACCTGTTCACTTCCCAAATGTCCGCAAGGGTCAGAGCTAAGATGATCCAAAGCCAGGATCCAGGAGCTTCTTCCAGGTCTCCCATGCAGGTGCAGGTTCCCAAGGAGTTGAACCATCCTCTGCTGCTTCCCCATGCATCAGCCGGGAGCTGATTCGGAAACAGTAGCTGGGACACAAACCTGCGCCCGTCTGGGATCTCAGCACTTGCAGCAAATAGGATGACCCAATTGACACATTGTGCTGGGCCCAACTTTATTTTTTTAGTATGTAATATAAAGGTAAGGAGTTTATAAACCCATGTAGACCTCTGATTAGGATGGAGAGGGTCAGGTGGGGAGGGAAGGTGGCTGAGTGTGTGTTTTAGTTTTCCCTCCCTTGTCCATAGCGGAGCTGGGAGGGTTCTGGAGAGGGTGGAAAAAGCTAGTACTGCTTCTTGCTGTCACACTATATCAGTGCTACCTGCCTGGGACTGAGAAGTTCATTTCATGTCCCATTTGAGGCCCAGCTGTGGGGAAGAACGTTCTGGGTGTTACTTGCGTGGTCTCGATTGTTCTAAGATGTTAGCTGCTTTTACATCAGAGGTGAGAAATTTCTTTCTAAGGCCTATTGGCCATCCTTGGCACGCCCACAGATGCTTACATTTATTTATTTAATTAATTTTTAAGATTTATTTATTTTTATTTCTACATCAGATATACAGAGAAGAGGAGAGACAGAGAGGAAGATCTTCCGTCCAATGGTTCACTTCCCAAGTGACCGCAATGTGCCGATCTGAAGCCAGGAGCCTAGATCCTCTTCAGGTCTCCCACGCAGGTGCAGGGTCCCAAGACCTTGGGCCATCTTCAACTGCTTTCCCAGGCCACAAGCAGGGAGCTGGATGGGAAGTGGAGCTGCCAGGATTAGAACTGGTGCCCATATGGGATCCTGGCGTGTTTAAGGTGAGGACTTTAGCTGCTAGGTCACTGCGCCAGGCCGTATTTATTTAAGACCTACTTATTTATTTGAAACAGAGAGAGGAAATAGAAAGTGTTCCATTGGTCGATTCCACCCAAATGGCCACAAAGGCTAGGGCCAGGTCCTTCTTCCGGGTCTCCCCATGTGAGTGCAGGACCCCAAGCACTCGGGTGATCTAGCTGCCCTCTCGGGCACATTACAGGGCAGCTAGATCAGAACTGGAGTGGCTGGAGCATGAACAGGCACACGTATGTGATGCCAATACCATTACATAATAGTGCCCAAGATTTTTGTTTTCAAATGTTGTTTTCTTTGGAAGGTCGATTGAGAGAAGGGTGAGGTAGGAAGCAGAGATCTCTCATCTGCTGGTCCATTGGCCCAAGTTCTGAAGCCAGGAGCCAGGAACTCCATCCGGGTCTCCCACGTGAATGTTGAGGGTTTTCATAACTGTGTCTTCCTCAGCCATCTCACAGGCCCAGCTTTGGGAAACTGGATCAGAAGCCGAGTGACTGAATTCAAGCTGCCCATTCCAGGGTGTCACCCAGGATACCATAATGCCAGCTGCTGTTGCTGCCTTAGCAGGTTGAAAAGGACGCTGCTCTGTGAAGGCCAAGGTCAGGGTCCCGAGCTGGAGTCTTGTTTGATGAGGGAAGAACCTGGAACCCTGCCTTCCCAAGTCACTTCCCATAAGGGATAGGGTGTCAGGAGGGGGCAGTGTGGGGCGCCGGCATGCTTAGCACACAGGCAGACATTAGGACCTTCCCAACCTGCATTGGTGGCTTTCCAGCTCTGGATACCCCTGGAGAATGTGGCCCACCTTGAATGGCCTGCCTTACTCCCCAGGCCCTGGCTGTCATCAGATGGAGGACTCCATGGGCGTTGAGGAGGTGGTCATTCCCAAACTGGCTTCTCTCCTTGATCACTTACCCAACACAGCCCAGGTGACCCAGGGGTGGGGTTGGATCACTAGCTTCCCAGGTGCCAGGTGTGGTTATGAAGCATGCCCTTAGGGTCAGGCACTGTCTACTTTTAAAAAATAATTGATTTTTATTTATCTGAAAGGACAAGTTACAGAGACGGAGACACAGACCTTCCAGCTGGTTCACTCCCCAGTGGCCATAGTGGCTGGAGCTGGGCTGGTCCAAAGCCAGGAGCCAAGAACTACATCTGGGTCTCCCGCTATGCGTGATGGGGGCCCAAGGACTTGAACATCTTCTTTTGTTTTCCCAGGTGCATGAGCAGGGAGCAGGACTATGTCTAGCACCCCTATGGGATGCCAGAGTCTCGGTGCACCACAATGCTGGCCCTAGGGCCAGGCACTTTATAGTTAAAAGTAGTAATTCTCCCCATTTTCAAGATGTGGACAGTGAGATCTCGGAAGGCTGGGCTTATGTGACTCCAGTCCCATTCCCAGATGACTAAGACCCTGTTCCTTCCCACGGAGGAGGAAACCACCGCCCCATTCCAGTCAGTCAGTGCTTGGTCAGGGTGACTTCATAACCTGCCAGTTGAGAGCGGCTCATTTATCTGCTGAAAAGTCAGGAGAGGCCTCTAGGCAGGGGCGGACAGCTGCTGGGCCAGCAAGTGTAGAACTAGGTTGGGTAGCCTCCTAGGGCCTATGTGTGTCTCCTAACTGCCACTTCGGTGCCCCCCCACTCCCGTCACTACCATCAGACCTGAAGGGGACTCAGGCTCAGTAGGAGGGGCAGATCTCTGAGCTTATAGGGGGGTGAGACAGCTGGAGGTGGAGTGGGAAGGGAGACATGAGTTTTCTCCCCAGACCCGAATGGGAAGGGAATGGGGGGGGGGGTGTCAAGTGGGACAGAAGAAGGAAGTTGGTGGCCATCAGGGGTGTTTGCAGGGGAACTGTGTCCCCAAAGTTTCAGGCCATGGTTGCTGAGTGTGTTTGGAGAAGTCAGCGTGGGGGAATTTGCTGGTTCTCAGGAGTGGGGAACCAGCGAGAGGTGTCCCCCCCTCCGGAGGGGAAGTCCCGATGGCAGCATGTTGGTGGCCATGGGGGTGGGGGGAGATTATGGTGGGAAAAGCTGGCCTGCACCGTGGTTAGGGGTAACCCGGGTCCTCCAGCTCGGGAGGAACCCTGGGGTGTCTGCAGAGGCGGAGGAGGGTCCACGTCTAGGGGAGGAGCGGCCGGTGGGTTGGGCGCCAGGCCACCGCCCCCTCCTCGCTCCCCCGCGGCGGCGGGCGGGCCTCGGGCGGGGACCTGGTCGGTGGGAGGCCCGCCCGCGGCCGGCCCACAATGAGGCGAACCGGCTGCCGTGAGTAAGGGCAGGCTGCCGGCCGGGGCCGGGCCACGCGGGGCGGAGGCTGCCGGGGCAGGTCGGGGCAGGGCTGGCCGGGCGGGCGGGGGCGGCGGCGGCGGCGGGAGCCGTGCCCGGGGCCCCGCACCGCAGAGCCCGCGACCTAGGACAGCGAAGCAGGCCCGCCCGGAGCCCCGCGCCCTGCACCCCAGCGCCCGTCGGTGGGCGCCCCGAGCTCCGATCGGCGCCGGGCAAGAAGAACGCGCCGCAGCCGCAGCCGGAAATCAGCCTCGGAAATCGGGGGCCCCCACCGAGCCGGAGTCGGAGCCCCAGCGGAGACATGGCGGGGCCGAGGGGCGCGCTGCTGGCCTGGTGTCGCCGCCAGTGCGAGGGCTACCGCGGCGTGGAGATCCGCGACCTGAGCAGCTCCTTCCGGGACGGCCTGGCCTTCTGCGCCATCCTGCACCGGCACCGGCCAGACCTGCTGTGAGTGCTGGGGCGCGGCGGGCAGCCGGGCGGGTGGCCGGCGGGCGCTGGGGCCGCCGCCCGCCTCAGTGACGCGGAGCCCGGCCGGGGGCAGCAGGCACCGCCCTCCGCCAGGGACAGCTCCGAGTGAGGCGCCGAGGCTCCGGGGGACCCCTAGCCCCGCACCTCCTGCCCCATCCACCTCATTTGCCCCGCCTTTGGGGTACAGAACCTGACCCTGACCCCGCCCCCCAGGGGGACGCAAGGGGCGGCTGGGTCCCCTGGAGGCGTGCCTGTTTACGGGGTGAGGGGCTTGGGGGGCACTGAGCCCTCATCTTGGGGCCCCCTGAGCCTCTCCTGTGCCAGGTTCCCCTCCCACAGGCACGCGGAACCTCCGAATAGGAGTATAGAAGGTCCAGATTACCGCCCCCACCACTATACACTTTTCTGGCGGATTTGGGAATTTGGAGTTGGTTTGAGAAACTGTGGTGCGTTTGGGAAAGGCGTGTCGTCCTTAGTTAAGTCTGACGCTGGAGAAAGAGCTGCCCAGGGACACTTATAAGACCTGGAGGAGCACTTCAGCCTGGCCTTTCCTCCCCTGAGCCCTCCCCTGTCTGCATCCCACCCCCACCCCAGAACCGCCCCCAGCAGCCCTGGCTCCCCTTTTGTGGCTGGGGATGCTATTACCAGCCTGAGAGCCCCCGACCCATCTTCCACCCGTGCACACAAAGGGAGTGAAATGTGGGTTTTCTGCTGTTGATCCGTTTTATGTCGCTGTAATTCATGGCCCTGCACAGGATCTAGGAGAGCAGAGGGAAGCCCCCCACCCTACTGCCGCCCTCCCTCATACCCCGTGGGGTGGGGGTGGGGAGAGAGAAGGGTGGAGCTTCCCCTTCCCCACCCCCATCTTGATTCTGACCTAGTTCTTACCTGGAGGGGACCCCCACATTAACAGCTGCTGGGTAAAAGGAAGTGGACACACACACACACACACACACACACACACACACACACACACATTGTTGGGACCAGGTCTGTGCCCTAGGCTATGGGAAGAGGAGCTGGAGACCAGGGCTGGAGGGAGGTTCTCAGGGGCAAGTGTGTTCAGGCTGCCTCCCCCAGGTGTGGACCTGGGGCTGTCTCCCTCCTGAGCTGCCCTTGCCCTGGGCCTGGCCACTCATTCTTGAAGCCATGGGTGTGAGTTCACCTTGTGCCCACCTTGCCTCTGGCTTCTGGTTATACTTGGCAAATCTGGGGCAAGAGTCATGGACCCGGTTCCTCTTAGATGCAGCCCCTCACCCAACCCTGGAGTCAGTCCCTCTCCCCCTACCCCGCCTCCCGCAGCTTGGCAGAGTCTGGCCACTGGGTCTGTTGCACCTGCAGGCCTGCTCCCAAAGGGCTGCCCCAGGGACTGGGTGGTACATGCATGCTGCTTTGCTCTGTCACGTGGCGTGCCATGTGTGTGGGTGAGTGGAGCAGGCCCTGGAAGAGAGGCTTTGGGGGCAGGTGAGGGAGATGGGTTGCTGCTTGCTGCCATGCCTGGGTCCCTGCTCAGAGCAGTACAAGGATGGGAGATGGAGGAGGAGAAGGGTGCCAAGATTGGGGCTCATGTCAGAGTGGATGGCTGGCAGGGTCTTCTGTGAGGCAGGGGCAGGGACTGGCAAAGGACTTGGAGGTCAAGCTGAGTGGTCAGCGTTGAGCAGGGGAGAACCCGTGTTTGTTCTGCCTAGTTTGAGGTCTTTGGGTGGACGAACTGGGTGAAACTACACCAGCGGCCACTTCTCCAGGAGATTGTAAGGTGGGCTGTGTGGAGGCACCTCCCTCGTGGATTGTCAGAGGATTTGATGAGATAATGAGCAAGTGTGCAGGAGGCAGTCCTCCTAAGCAGTGATGCTGGGCCTCGGAGGGGTGATGGCCGTGTTTCAGGCTGTTCTAAGTGTCATAGTTATTACTCTGCCCTGGCACTGCCTGGTGGTAGAGCTACCAGCCAACCAGCCCAGGCTACCTGGACATGGGCAGAGGATGTGTGGGCGATATTAGAAGTGCAGGTGCTCTGTCCAGCCTGGGAAACCTCCCCAGGGAATGCCCAGTCATTGGGGACATGACAGCAGCCAGGTGGGGGCCCGCCTGAGCGGAAGTGCGCTGAACCGTGCTCCTGGGGGTGCGGTTGGGCCAAACTGTGAGTGAGTGAGCGAGTGAGAGCCCCCTTGGGTGGCTGAGGAGGTGTCGGGGTTGAGGGAGGAAGGGGGAACACAGGGAGCCAAACCAAGTTGTAAGCAGAGAGATGTGGCCGGGGAAGATGTGGAGCGAATGACTCTTCACTTCTTAGAAGAGGCATAAGGTCAAGTCCGGGCCTTCAGAACCCAGCCCCCAGCCCCAGCTCCGCTCCTGGGCTTGAGGGAGGCCTCAGCTGCAGCTCAGTGTGGTGCACTCAGCACCTCTGTCAGGTGCAAAGTGCAGGGGTTGTCTGCTGTGGGAGCCAAGAGGCTGGCCCATGCTGCACCCCACCCCCCGCTCCAGGCATCTCTAAGCTCCCTAAGGCCGAGGAACCATGTGGGTTTCAATTCTGTGTCCAGTGTCTCCCAGAGTGAAGTAGAACTTTGCTGGCCCCCAACAACTCTCAGAGAATAGCTGTGTTGCCAAAATTCAGATGTTGAGGGGGGAGAGAGACAGAGATGGGAAATGTTGTTGCACAAAAACAAAACAAAATGCACCCTGAGGGAGATGGCATTTTTTTGGTAAGATTTATTTATTCTTACTGGAAAAGCAGATTTTTAAAAAAGATTTATTTAATTTTTATTGAAAAGTCAGATATACAGAGGAGGAAAGACAGAGAGGAAGATCTATCCGCTGATTCACTCCCCAAGCAGCTGCATTGGCCGGAGCTGCACTGATTTGAAGCCAGGAGCCAAGAACCTCCTCCAGGTCTCCCACGCAGGTGCAGGGTCCCAAGGCTTTGGGCTGTACTAGACTGCTTTCCCAGGTCACAAGCAGGGAGCTGTATGGAAGTGGAGCTGCCGGGATTAGAACTGGCACCCATATGGGATCCTGGTACGTGCAAGGCGAGGACTTTAGCCACTAGGCTACTGTTCTGGGCCCTGGAAAGGCAGATTTACAGAGAGAAGGAGAGAGAGAGAGAGAGACTGCTGGTTCACTCCCCAAATGGTTTCAATGGCCAGAGCTGAGTGGATCCAAATCTAGGAACCAGGAGCATCTTCCTGGTTTCCTGCCTGGATTCAGGGTCCCGAGGTGTTGGGCCATCCTCTGCGGCTTTCCCAGGAAGCTGGATCAGAAATGAAGCACCCAAGGCTCGAACAAGAGCCCACAGGGCCTGCCAGCACTGAGGGCTGAAGCTAAGCCTGCTTCTCCGTGGGCGGGGCCGTCTCTGACTGGTTGTTTCTGTTCCCTTTGCTCTTGGGAATGACCTTTGTTGGGGGCTGGGCTGCTGCCTTCCTAGCCTGTTCAGTGTCAAAGCGTGGGCCTGGGGTGGAGAGGGGTGAGACAGCTTGGCTAGGTGTGGTATTCCAGAGTTAGTGAGGCAGCCAAGGGGGCACCGGAGCCTGGCAGAGAAAGGGGGCTGGTTGGCAGGTGCTTCTGTCCTCTGCCTAGTCTGTGGATCTGAGAGGGGGGCCCAGGCTTCTGCCCCATTTCTGCTGTAGCTCACAGTGCCTGGGACAGAGCCTGCCCCGCACCCCCCATCAGGAGGAAGAGGAGAACAAGGAGGATGGGCTTGCCCTTCAACTGAGCCCAAGACTCAATTCAGTCTGTCCTCGCCTAGGGAGCCCCAGCACTTTCCCCACCTTGCAGGTGAGCAGAGAAGTGTGCAGGACCCCTCAAGGTCATATCCTCAGGCCTGGCCTCCGGCCTTCCCAGCTGCAGCCCGGAAGGGAGTGGTAATCTGCAGGCTGCAGGGGAGTGGGGGCAGGGAAGCTGAGCTGCCTCTAACCAGTGTCCACCTCTCCTGGGGCCTGAGGGATAAATAAAGCCAGCACACCAGCCAGCTGTCCCTGCTGGTCAGCTGTCCCACAACAGGCCCCCAGGCCTTCACTCACCTGTTGCAGCTTAGAATTCCAAAAATCTTTCATTGCTCCAGCAGTGGAGCTGTCTTCAGGGTCCCCAGGAGTGGCCTGATGGGTGTGCCAGCCGTTTTGCTAGAGCCCCCACCAATGGCTCAAATTTGTCCTGGCTCCTTGGTCCCAGGCTGGGCACAGCAAGTCAGCGAAGCATAAGCCTGGCACCTGCCAAGCAAGGGTTGTAGCTGAGACTATTCCTATCTAGGCCTCAGTGGTCTCATCTGTGAAATGGGATATGTATGTGCCAAGCAAAGTGGAGGGATGGAGTTGCTCTCCATGGCATTGGCTGGCAGGCCCTGCACTGCCCTGGGCTGTGTCTTTGCCACCTGCTGGGCAGATGGCTCTCTGAGGGACTGGGAATGACTGGGTCTCTCTCTGCTTGAGCATCTCCAAGGACCACAAGCTCATTCCAGGCCCCACCTGGCAGCCCCAGCACAACAAGGGGACTCTAGAAAATTCATGCAAAATGAAATGAAAAGATACAAGTATTTTGGAGTAAAATTGGTTCAAGATATTCATTGCCATGGACTTTTTGAAGAGCAGTTATGGGAACGTGTGCCTGCTGCCTCTTTCCTCCTCAGTCTTCACCACACACCCTTGCTACAGCACATACTGGTCAGGATGTCACCTCGGCCCACTCCATACCCTTGCCCCCTCACAGCTCTCTCTCTCTTAAAATATTTATTTGGGGCCCGGCGTGATAGTGTAGTGGTTAAAGTGCTTGCCTTGAGCCGGGATCCCATATGGGCACCGGTTCTAATCCTGGCTGTTCTACTTCCTATCCAGTTCCCTGCTTGTGGCCTGGGAAAGCAGTGGAGAATGGCCCAAAGCCTTGGGACCCTGCACAGGTGTGGGAGACCTGGATAAAACTGGCTCCTGGTTTTGGATTGGCTCAGCTCCAGCCGTTGCGCCCGTCTGAATCATCAGATGGAAGATCTTCCTCTCTGTCTTTCCTCCTCTCTATATATCTGATTTGAAAGAGCCACAGAGGTAGAGAGGACAGTGAGAGACAGATATTTTGTCTGCTGGTTCACTCGCATAAATGGCCACGCTAGCCAGAGCTGGGCCTAGCTGTTCTAAGCCAGGAACTTCTAGCTCTACAGGGGTCTCCATGTGGGCTTGGGGCCCAAGCACGTGGCCATCCTCTGCTGCTTTTTCTGGGTGCCTGAGCAGGGAGCTGGATTGAGAGCAAAGCAGCTGCTGGGGCTCCACGCAGTGCCCCACCACGTAGGCCACTGTCACCCCTCTTTTGATAAGTCTTCTCTTTGCCTATTGCAGAGATTTCGATTCACTTTCCAAGGACAATGTTTTTGAAAACAACCGTTTGGTAAGTCCCAGACCATTGGAAGCCCAAAAGGCTGTGTGCTTGTATGTGTAAGTGTGTGTAGCTCTTTTGTGTGTGTGTGTGTGTGTGTGTACATGTGTGTATGGCCTGAGTGTGTGCACATATGTATGCGTGTGAGCATGGATGGCAGGGGTCTTTTGTAGGTGGGCTCCAACCCCGCCCTCCACTGGCCCTTGTACTTGGAGCGTCAGGCCTCTCTGTCTCTCAAACCATACTTTTGGATTGTTGGGCCTGGAGTTGAGGGGAGCCCACAGTCAACCTGCCACGCCTTGGGGAGTGGATCCAAGGCTCTGGGCACCCGCTGAACCTGCCTTCTTGCCCTGCACTGTGGCGGTGGCTCCCGGCTCACACCAGGCCTTTGAAGTGGCCGAGAAGGAACTGGGCATCCCTGCTCTCCTGGACCCCAATGACATGGTCTCCATGAGTGTTCCCGACTGCCTCAGCATTATGACTTACGTGTCCCAGTACTACAACCACTTCGCCAGCCCGGGCCAAGGTGAGGGGCGCTGGCCCTGGGGGCAGGGGTAGAGCTGGAGCTGCCCGTTACTTCTCCTTTATATATGGGTAGGATTGGCTGGTGTGGGGGGGTGTGGGCTGGCAACATAGAACCCAGCTCATTTCCCTTGATCCTTCAGTCAGGGCTTGAAATGCTTGTGTAGGAAATAGCCCATGGGCGCTGCCCGAGTATACTGGCTGCCTGCAGGCCTTAGCTTGCTCCAAAGGGATGATCCAGGCCTAGTGCTGAGCTGGGGACTGCACGTGAGCTCCAGGGTGACAGCTCGAGGCCGATGTCCTGGCCGTGCATGCGCCTCCTTCTGCAGAGAGAAAAATGGGCCCTGAAAGGGAATACAGGGCGCTCAAGGTTACACCGCCTTCAAACTAGGGGCCCCGAGTTTCCCTACTGGGTCACTACTGTCCACTGATCCTGAGGGGACCCCATTTTTGCCCTGGGCCTGCCTCTGCTCTCTGTGTTTCATGAAGCCAGGAGCTTTTCTTACTAAACATAAAACATGTTCATGTCCTTGCTGCTCTACTTCCCATCCAGCTGCCTGCCTGGGAAAGCAGTAGAGGATGGCCCAAAGCCTTGGAACTCTACCTGTATGGGAGACCCAGAAGCAGCTCCTGGCTTCTGGCGTCGGATCGGCTTAGCTCCAGCCATTGCGGCTATTTAAGGAGTGACCCAGTAGATGGAAGATCTCTCTGTTTGTTGCTCCTTCTCTCTCTGTAAAATCTACCCTTCAAATAAAAGTAAATCTTTTTGAAAAACTTATGCAAGGTGGAGAGATGGAGAGAGGTCTTCCATTTGCTGATAACGCTACCCACATGCCTTTAGCAGCCAGGGCTGGGCCGGGCCTCCCATAGAGTCTGGATTGGGACCAGAATTCAAACCTGGGCACCTGACCAGGGATGCAGGTGTCCTGACCACGGACCAGAACCTGCCAAGTGTGGTTTCAGACCACTTGACCTCTACATGTAAGACGGTTTTTATCGCATCTGCTGCTAAAGTGAAGGAAGCAGCATGCCCCGGCACCTGCTGTGCCACTCCTCAGCTGCTCCTGATGATGCTCCCTGGGCACCCAGGAGGCCTTCAGGGGAGATGGAGCCAACTTGACTCCCACAGGGCTAGGTGAGTTTGGAGCCTGCTCCCAGCAAAGGTGCCAGCACCATGCTGAGTGTTCAGTTTCCAAGAGGAGCCTGGTTGCCCAAACCTGGGTCAGGGGTATAAAGACAAAATCCAAAGGAGGCGCTATGGCCGAGTGGGTAAATCTGCCTCCTGCAACAATGCCCGCTGGCATCCCATATGGGAGCTGGTTTGTGTCTTGGCGGCTCTGCTTCTGAGCCAGCTTCCTGCTCATGGTCTGGGAAAGCAGCAGAGGCTGGCCCAGGTGCTGGGGTCTCTGCCACGCACAGAGGAGACCTGCAAGAAGCTCCTAGCTTTGACTTGACCCAGCCCTGGCTGTTATGGTCATCTGGGGAGTGAACCAGTGGATGGAAGATCCTTTGGTTCTAACCTCTCCCTTTTTCAGCAGTTCTTTGAAATAAATAAATAAATCTTTTAAAAATAGACCAAGTTCAACTCCTTAGTGCAGCTTCAAAGGGCCTCTGCCCCTTTACCTTAAGCCACAGCCCAGCCCAGCCACAGTCATGTTGAATTTCTTGTGCTTCCACAAATACATCTCATTCCTCCCTGCCTTTCTCCTGTGATCTTCCCTCCCCTTCCACCCTCAGCAGGTTGTTTGTGGCTTATGCTAAATTCTTTTTTTCCTAAGATTTATTTGTTTTACTTGCTACATGGAGTTGCAGAGAGACCAGAGATGAAGTGAAAAATCTTCCATTTGCTGGTTTACTCCCTAAACAGCCTCAATGGCCAGAGCTGGGCTGGTTCTAGTTCAAAGCTGTGGAGCCAGGAATTTTCTCCAAGTCTCCCATATGGGTGGCAGATGCCCAAGGCTTTGGGCCATCATCTGCTGCTTTCCCAGGACTTAAGCAGATAGCTGGATGGGAAGTGGAGCAGCTGGAAATTGAATGGGGACTCATGTGAGATGCCAGCGCTGCAGGTGGAGGTTCAACCTGCTACCCCAGGAGGAGGAGACCCTATGAATGCCAGGGCTAGAAGCAGCAGAGGGTGGTGTGCTCCTCGGCAGTAGGGGAGAGGAGGAACAGACTGGGTGTATGTGGGAAGGTCATGTAGGGACCCAATGAGGCTGCTGGTCGTCATAGCCCCAAGTTCATGGATGGCCATGGATGTAAGTGAAACAGCTGCAGCAAACAGTTCTTCCCCCTACAGCACGTGATGCACGCAGGCGCTTTCTCTTCTGTCCTGTCTTTGGAGTGTGCTGTGCAATGCCCACTGAACAAACTACAGGGTGCCCAGTGGTCTGCAACCCGAATTTTGCTCACTGCTGTCTGACACCACAGTGAGGTGGTGGGTTTAAAACTCATGCAGTAAAGCTGACCTTCCCCCAAGCCCAGCAGACAGACCCCTGACTTTCTGGGTCTTCTTTTATGTTATTGATCTCGAAATGATTTACCTATTTGAAAGGCAGAGTGACACAGAGAGAGATCTTCCATCTGCTGGTTTACTCCCCAGATGTTTCCACATCCAGCCTGGGCCTGGCTGAAGCCAGCAACCAGGAGCCTCTCCTTGGTCTCCCACATGGGTATATGGTCCCAAGGCTTTGAGCCATTGTTTGCTGCTTTCCCAGGCCACAAGTAGGTAGTTGGATAGGAAGTGGAGCAACCAGGACATGAACCAGCGACCATATTGGATTCCAGCTTTTGCAGGGGAGGATCAGCTAGTTGATCTACCATACTGAGCCCTGGACTTTATTTTTCATTGTTGGGTACAAAGTAGACCTCAGGCTGTGTTTACTGATGTGGGAATGAAGGAGCCGAATCTTACAGGGATGCAGGGTGAGGCCAGGTGGGCAGGGGGCATACGTGGACAGGCAGGGCCATCCCCATCTTCCCTGGGAGGAGGCCCCCTCTCCTGAGTCCTCAGGCAACACCATGTGGTCTCTTTCACCCTAGACCAGGCCTCCTTCTCCCACCAGGAGCACCCATGGACGCCTCTGTGCTGCCACATGCTTGTTCCTCTCAACTTCATGCAGTGGGACTTCCTGTTCTCCTTAATGCAGCATCAGCCTGTGTTGAGCAGACAGCTCAATAGTGCAGCCCCCTGACCTGGCCCGTGGGCAGCTGGGCCCTGCTCCTGCTGTGCCGTGTTCAGTGGTCTGCCTAGGACTTTGGCTGCAGAGGGCGAGTCTTGAGCCAGGCCTGGGCCTTGGGGACGCTACACCCTTCACCTGCTACAGGTTTGCTTTCCTGTCTCTTAGCAGCTGGTGTCTCACCGCCCAGAAAGGACCCGACACCCTCTTCCTCACCATCTGTGACACCCAGTACCGAAGAACCAGGAGACGGGACTCAGGTAGGCAGGTGCCTGGGTCTGCAGGTCTGTGGGGGCCTGGGGACATGTCATGGTGGTGACTGTCACTCCAGGGCCCTGATCCTGCTAGCGTTAAGTGGTGTCCTCTGCCCTTGTTCCTCTGGCTTTGGAAACAGGATCTCCCAGGCTAGGATGGGGAGTCAGGATGCCAGACCAGCGCCATGGACACTTCTCAGGGGAGATTCGGGGGATGACAAGTTGGCACAGGGTTGGTGGAGGGCATCTGTATGCCAGCTGGCCCTCAGTGGTACTGCTAGTAGTTAGAGATGGTTTGTTCTCTGGACCCCTCTCTGGGTGGCCAGAGCTCCCAGGGTTCCAGCGTGATTCTGGTCAGTTCCCACGGCAATGTGGAGAACTTTGGCTCTGTGGACCTGCATAGATGAGCAAAGTGAGGTTTGGCAAGGTTTAGTAATTTGTCCAATGGTCAGAAGGGCAGGGTGGGTCATGCTGCCAGGCACCTGTCCGAGGCACCTGTGCCAGGGAACTTAGGGGAAGCAAGAATATGCCTTTCTGTCTGGATACCATTTGATGGTGTGTGAGGGAGGTTTTTTCCCACCTGCTCTCAAATGTTCTTTACTGGGGTGGAGAGGAGCTCCAGAAGGGGGCCAGGGCCAGGGTTGCTGGGACAGAGGCTGGCAAGTGTTGTTCTCTGGACCCCTCCCTGGGCATCCAGGGGCCAGGGGGACCCATCGTGGGACCAGAGACTCAAGCAGATGGCTCAAGGCCACAGAGCTGGGGAAGGTGGACCTTGAGCAAGTTCCCCACTTTCTGGCTTTGGGAGGTGTGATGGTCTCTCGTGAGCTCCTGCCAGGGCCCAAATTGAGTACCTGAATCCCAGCAAGTTTAGTACATGCATGAGGAAGGGGAAGAGGGAAGTGTTTGGGACCGGGTTTACCTCCACCCGCCACCCCGCCATCTGCTCATCTTGTTCCCTGCAGGGCGAGGAGCTGTCTTCCCCCAGCAGCCTGTCGGAGCAGGGCACCCACCGGACCCCCAGTAGCACCTGTGCGGCCTGCGGGCAGCATGTGCACCTGGTGCAGCGATACTTGGCTGATGGCAGGCTCTACCACCGGCACTGCTTCCGGTGAGTGGCCGCCAGGGTTGGGGGCAGGCATTCGTCCCTCATCACCTTCAGTATGGGGGACTCCACAGCCGCTGTGCACCAGTTCGCCTGCCAGAGCTTCCGGCTTAATCCCCGAATCCACTTACGAGCTTCCAGCAGCTGGAGTTCATTGAGGGTGACTACCTATTGCTGATAACTTTCAAAGATAAGTTTACTTGAGAGAGAATATCTCTTGTTCACTCCTTAAATGGTCCCAAGGACCAGGGCTGGGCTAAGCCAAAGCCAGGAACCAAATGCTATCTACGTGTCCCATGTGGGTGGCAAGCCAGGTGCATTAACAGGTAGCTGGATCAGAAGTGGAGCAGCTGGGACTTAAACCAGCACTCATATGGGATGCCAGGTGCTGCATGGTGGCTTAACTTGCTACACTACAATGCCAGCCCTTAAATTAAATTTAAAAAAAAATTTATTTAAAATCATGATGAAGACTTGATTTAAGTGGGAGTGAACCAGAGCATGGAAGATCTCTCTGTCTGTGCAACTCTGTCTTCCAAATTCACAAATAAATCTTTTAAAAAGAAGAAAAAAGGAAAAGAACTTGCTTTAAGAGTGTGGCTCCCAGGGGAATTCAAACTTTATAATAATAAAATCAACTAAGAAGCAAAACTATAGAAACTTAGTAAATTGCTGAAAACATTTTATATGTTACAAGAAAACAAAATCAGAAAAGGAAATCAAATGGTCAGAAGTCAAGGACTTCGTCCCCATGTGGTTTGCTGAGGATGCATGCGATGGGGGACCTGGGTCCCCCACGGATCCATCTGCAGAAGTGGGGTGTCTTAGGAGAGAAAATCCAGGTGGCATTTGACACACACTCACTTCCAGCACCGGGGCCATGTTCTAGAAATTTCTGAGTGTTACTCCCAGTCTACATACACTTGACACTTCAACTTGTCACATGTACGTGCCTGAATGATACAAGCTTGATCCCGCGGGTGCACAGCTAACTGGAGTGAGAACAGCTGTGGCCTTCCTGCTAGGTTATACGGCACTGCGCTGCAATTTATTCTGTTTCATTAAAAACCAATTGGACTCCGTTGGTTGAAAAGCACCGGTCTGATATCCTGCACTACTGCATGGCCTCTCACACCCCGTCTGGCACCTCTGCCAGGGGGACCGTGCCTTCTTCCTCTTGTAGCATCACTCCAAGGTGCCTTTCACAATTTCTGCTGTTCCACTCTGCTCCTGGCAGTTCCCTTCCTCCTTCCCCCACACACACTTCCTGCCATCCGCCTTTGGGCAGTGAGCTAAGATCCATGCAGCTGGCAGTTGGGAGGGAGGGGAGCAAGGGCTGGCCCACTGACACCCTGTCTTGTCCCCTGGCAGGTGCCGGCAGTGTTCCAGCACCCTGCTCCCCGGGGCTTACACAAATGGACCCGAGGAGGGCACCTTTGTGTGTGCAGAACGCTGTGCCAGGCTGGGTCCAGGAGGCCGACTGGGACCCCGGTGTGCGACAGCCACACAGTCGAAGCCACTGCCGGCTGCCAAAGATGAGGATGCAGGTGACACCAGCTCTGCAGAGGGTGCAGGTGCCAAGGCAGATGATGCCAAGGCCGTCCCCGAGGCCCGGCCCCAGCTCGCCGCCAAGCCTCAGCTTCCCGGCAAACCCCAGGAACTGACAAGTCCTCCTGGCAGCCGCCCCACGCCCGCCCCCAGAAAGGCCTCTGAGAGCTCAGCCCCGACGCCCCCCACACCCCGGCCCCGATCCAGCCTGCAGCAGGACAGCTTGGCGGAGCAAGCTGGCGGCAACAGCCTGGTGAACGGTAAGTGAGGGCCGGGCTGGGATGGGGCAGGGAGGTAGGCAGAGAAATAGGTGGATGAGGAAGTTGTGTTCAGAGAGAGGACAGGAAGCAGCGGCTGAAGTGGGGGTGGGGGTGATTCCTGGGGAGACACTTGGAAGCCAAGAGAACTTTCTAGAGGAAGTGATCGCTAGGTTGAGTTGAGACTCCATGTACAGAGTGGTATCAGATGGGTCTCTGACCATTCTGTCTCCCAGGACCACTTGGAGGCTGGGAAGCTGTCCTCTGGGGGGTAGGGGCAGGCACTAGGTTGCCCCAGATGCCCTGGCTCACTCTCCTTTCCCATCCAGGAAGACTGCATGAACCCCCTGTCCCCAAGCCCAGAGGAACACCCAAGCTATCCGAGAGGTATGCTCCGCTTTCCCAGCTAGCCTGCTCCAGGTCCCGCCTCTCCGTGGGCACACTCCCTCTTCTCTGAGGCCTCCTGGGATTCCTGCTGCTGCACCTTGGCCTGTTCCCTATTGTGAGCAACAGGGCTGAGGTGAGGGGCAGGGTGTGGAGCCACCCTTGGAATCATTTCCCCTCTCCAGGCCCTGTTGTCTTAAGGCTCAGCAAATGAGCTTAGAAAGACCTGGAAAAGCCACTCCTGGCTCTCAATCCTCCAGCCCAGGCCTAGGCTTTGGATGGAGAGGTCGGTGCTCGCAGCCTATGGAGGCAGGTGGCTGGGGCTGCCCCTGTAGGTGCTGTTTACAATGGCAGCTGTTCAGGTGCCTGATAGTGTGACTTCTGGGACCCCACAGTGTTCGATGTCCCCATGTAATGCATGGAGACAGTGACAGAAAGACAGAATCTCTGTGAAGGCCACATAAACTAGCAACCACAGTGTCCCTTCATTAGTCGATCCCCAGGTAATTGTGTGACTAGGGGGCCTCCCTGGGTCTGGTTGCAGTGTGGCTGTAATGGTCCTTTTTGACCTTGGTCCAGACTGGCCCCACAGGCCCTGGGGGTGGAAGAAGGGAAGGGGCAGTTTTTCACCTGCCCTGTGTGAAATGGGTACAGAACCCTCTCCACACAGGGCAAGAGCCTCAACCTCCTCCCTGCTGCCCTCCAGGACGCCACCTCCTAGGAAGGACCCTCCTTGGATCACACTGGTGCAGACAGAACCCAAGAAGAAGCCAGCCCCGCCTCCACCCCCCAGCAGCAGCAGCAGCAGCAGCAGCAGCCCTGGGCTCCCCAGGTGGGGCAGCCAACAGCAGGAGAGCGGGGCTGTGGAAGAGGCGCCCCAGCAGAGCCCCACTGCTGCCCAGGAGCCCAAGCCCTACAACCCCTTTGAGGAGGAGGACGAGGAGGAGCAAGAGCAGGGGGAGCAGCCCCCGGCAGGGCCCAGTCCTGGCCCGGCACACACAGAGGCTACGCCCAAGTCACTGCACCCCTGGTACGGCATCACCCCCACCAGCAGCCCCAAGACTAAGAAACGCCCTGCCCCGCGAGCACCCAATGCTTCGCCACTTGGTGAGTGCCTAGCCCTCAGAGCTCCCTGGTGGCTCTAGGTCTGTTTGTTCCTGTTTGAGCCAGGGAGTGGGTGACATGGGAGTCCTCTCCTGAGGTCAGGGGTCCCCAGGTTCCCTCTCATTTATCCTGGGGTTGCTCTGGGAGTGGCTCTCACTACCAGGGGTGGGGAAACTGAGGCACAGAGAAGGTGAGAGATTTGCCTGAGACTTCCCAGCTCTGAAGTGGCTGGGGTAGGGTTTGTCATGGTGGCTGCAGCATCTGTGTCTGCAGCTCTGTTATGTTCTTGAAGCATCTTTTCCAGTGAACGTTTTGCACGCTTGGGTCCTTGGGTTGCCTGAGGCCACGTGCATGGGACTCACTGGGAGTTACTCCGTGGCCTGGGAGGACTGGGACCCTCCCTGGCTGTGTGTGGCTCAGGTGTGGGAAGTTCAGGCCGTCCCTTGACCTTGCCTCAGTCTCTTTGCTTAATTTTTTAAAAGGTATGTTTATTTTCATTTGAAAGGCAGATTTTACAGAGAGAGAAGGAGAGACAGAAATCTTCTACCTGTTAGTTCACTCCCAAAATGGCTGCAATGGCCAGGGCTGAGCCAATCTGAATCCAGAAGTCAGGAGTTTCTTCCAGGGTCTCACACTTGGGTGCAGAGTCCCCAGGCTTTGTGACCATCCTCTACTGTTCTCCCAGGCCATAAGCAGGGAGCTGGATGGGAAGTGGAGCATCTGGGACACGAACCAGAGGCCATATGGGATCCCATCGCTTGCAAGGTGAGGATTTAACCATTGAGCCATCATTGCTGGGCCCAAATTATCAACTTTATTTGGTGGACTGAGAGACAGAGTGAGTCAGATGTCTCATCTGGGATGCCTGTGGCAGCTGTGGCTGAGCCAGACTGCAACCACAAAGTGGAAAGTCAATCCCAACTTCCCATGTGGGTGGCAGAGACCCAAGTACTTGAGGCATCTCCAACTGCCACCCTCCCAGGAATCAGAAGTAGAGGCAGGGCTCAAGACCGGGTGTGCCCGTATGGGACGCAGGTGTCCCGAGCAATGTCTTAACCAATGGACAAGACACTGACCTCTTCCAGTCTTAATGCCGTGGGCTTGGTCACCACCTTCCACCACAGTTGGGGTCCTGCTGCCTCTGAGCTCTGTGAGATTCCCTAGAATGCTGGACCAAGGGCGTATTAGGAGACCAGCATTGTGGCCTAGCAAGTAAAAGTTGGCACTTGTATCCTATACAAGTGCTGGTTCAAGTCCCAGCTGCTTCAATTCCAATCCAGCTCCCTGCTAATGGCCTGGGAAAACAGCAAAAAGTAATTCAGGTGCTTGGGGCTCCTGCACCCAGTCCTGGTTTCTGCTGGTCCAGCTCTGGCTCTTGCAGACATCTGGGGAGTAAACCAATAGATGGAAGATCTCTCTTTCCCTTTTTTCTCTGTAATCCTGACTTTCAAGTAAAGAAATGAATCTTAAAACAAGCGCATGTTAGAAATGGTCCCAGTCAGGAAACTGGTCATGAAATACCCATTTTGTGTTATTTTCTGGGCATTTACTTTTGGAGTCATGCTTTCTGGAAGGTTTTTGTTTTTGTTTTTTCCTTAAGACCTCTCAGGAGTAAGGAGTAACTAAATTGAATGATGCAATTTGATTTAAATCAGTTAAACCTTGGGCTCCCTGAGCTCCCACAGTCTGTGTGAGGAGAGGTAGGGGAATAGACAGGTTTGGGATATGGCCAAATTTGAACCTCGGAGTCGAACATTTCTGGGTTCAAAGCCAGCCTTTGCTAGGGGAAACACCTTCTCTCCTCCAAGTGTGAGGCAGGCAGGTGACAGGCGAGGCATGGACTCTGACACCTGCAGGACAGTGGTTGAGGCCCTGGCAGTGCCCGGGCCAGATCTGCCCACAGCAAGACTGCTTCTCCTCCCATTCCTTCCCTGAAAATCAGAGGCAGAGGAGAGGCTGGCCTTGCTCCTTCTGGTCTCCCCTGCTCCTGCTTTACCTCTGGGCTTGCTCTGGGGTGGGTAGAGGCAGTAGAGGCGGTTCTCTACTGGCTGAGGGGTGGGGCCATGGGTTGGGCAGTGGCAGCTGAATTCCAGACCACAAGCAGTACCAGGTGGACTGGGGACAGCGGATGCCCGGTGTGCCTGGGCCCTTGCACTGTGCAGGTGCAAAAGGACTTAGGTGTCCCAGCCTCATTCGGGAGAGAGGATGGGTTAGGCAAGGCCAGCAGCCCCTGCTGGCGTCCCTCAGGCACTGTGCACTTGCTGGTTCACAGCACTACATGCCTCCCGACTCTCACACTCGGAGCCCCCATCGGCCACGCCGTCGCCAGCACTCAGTGTGGAGAGCCTGCCGTCCGAGAGCTGTAGCCAGGCTGCCAGCACGCAGCTTCTCGAGCCGCCCGCTGTGCCCAAGAGCTCCTCGGAACCCGCCGTCCATGCCCCTGGCACCCCCAGCAACTCTGCCAGCCTCTCGGCCAACTCCTCCTTATCTTCCTCTGGGGAGCTGGCACAGCCTGGCCCCAACCTCCCCCCCAGGACTCAGGCCAACCCAGGTCCCCAGCCAGCCAAGCCGAGCAGTCGTGCCACCCTCATCCCTACCCCTACCCCCACCTCCACCCCAGTAGGAGACAAGAGCCCTGCACCTGCACCTGCAGCTGCACCTGGAACCTCGTCTCCCCAGCTTCAGGTGAAGGTGAGTGAGTGCCTCTCCTCCCGTCATGGGTGTCTAGGCCTTCCCACCAATGCTGACCTCTAACTTCCAGAGTGGCCTTAGCCACTCTGTGCCCCTCATTCAGCTCCTGGTGTAGGGAGGTACAGGTCTGCCTCTCTACCCACTCAGCCATCTGCCAGTCCTCCCCCCACGGTGGGCCCAGCAGCCAAAGTGCCTCCAGATGTCTGATTTGCCTGTGCACTGGCCCCTCTGGGAGCCACTTGGCCTGCCCGCTTTAGTTATCCCAGCCCAACCCCCTCCACCATCCACCATCCAGCCTTCTGTCCACTCCAGTACTGTGTGGCCAGGCCCTGCACAGAGGGGCACTAAGATTCTGTCCTCCTTGCCCTCCTGCGGCCCTGTCTGCTCAGGGAGGGACATAGGCAGCAGATTGTTCTAGATGGTCTGTGGGGGTGGGGGAGCCTTGAAGGGAGGGGTGGTTTCCTTTCTCTGCAGTGGAGCAGCTGGAGCACCATGGGCACTTCCTGTGGGGGTGGACTCCAGAGGCCACAGGTCCTGGTACAGCACAGAGCCAGGTTAGGGGGCGGTGCTGGAATGAGTGGGGGTGGGGTCAGCCCTGGACAGACACCAGGGCCCAGGACACATGCGCCACTGTGCACCACCATTGTCTGTGGAGGGGGTGTCTGCAGAGGAGGGAGGGTCTGGCAGTTCTGTCCTGGTGGGGGTTGGCCCGGTGGCCACTGCTGTCACCTCTTAGTGATGGCAGGTGGAAGCTCTGGACAGGCACCCCCTCAGGCAGCCTGTGTGCGTTTCCACTGTTATTTTATTCAAAAGATAAAGGTTGGGAGAGCGAGGTCTTCCTAGTTCATCCTCCTAATGCCCGCAACAACTAGGGCTGGGTCAGGCCAAAGCCAGCTGCCTAGAACCGGGTCTGGATCTCCCGTAGAGGACAAGGACCCGAGCGCTAGAACCGTCATCATCTGGCGCCTCCCAGTGTGTGTGTTGGCAGGATCAGAAGCAGGGGAGCTGGGACAAAAGCCATGCATGCAAATGTCCCAGGCGACAGCTGAGCTGTGCCATACACCCACCCTCAGATGGCTGGTTCTGCAGCTGCCTGTGGGCTGTGGGCCATGCATCATGTGCCGTGGGCTATGGGCTTCTTTCCCTGCCCCATGCCAGCACCCTGGGGTTGCTGGGATCAGGACATGCTTCTGGGCCCCCATTGCTGCAAGGACCTCCCCTAAGATGAACCCACAGCCCTTTTAGACACACCCCATCCCGCCTCCTGGCGGGATTCCAAGTGCACAGGGCTTGTGCTGCCCTGCCCCTGGGCCCTGCAAGCCCCACTTAGCCTTCCCTGGCCAGGTTCTTGCTCTGCCGGCACCTGCCCGACTCTTTGGACTTGTCAATGAGAGAGGGGCTCCTGGGTTTCTTGGTGGTGGGAGGCAGGAACACCATCCTGTGGTTGTTGGAAAGATTAATTGGCGGGTGTTCTAAGTGGCCATAAAAGGCAGAAACCCTGAGGGCTCCCAGGCTGTGGGTGTGCTTGTGATGGGAGGGACAGGTCCCCAAGGCAGTTTGGGGAGGGTCCTCCATTCCACCCTCACCCCAGAGTTAACAGAAAATGTCAAAGGTGGTGATGGCAGGAAGGCGGATCTTGGGCGTTAACCCATCTTGGCAGGCAGTTGGAGAGGGGTTGAACCAGCCTGTCTGCTTGCCCTGCTGGGTGCTGGTACCATCTCTGCCTCAAAGAGTCCCAGAGCCCAGCCTGGCCTGCCAGGATCTCACCCTGAGCTGGCACAGGCCAAGAAGCAGGGTCCTCCCCATCCCCACCTTGCCGCTGCTGGGAAGAAGCTGGGTTCCTCAAGCACCACTAGGCTCTCTGAGGGGGGTGAGCTGGGAGGGGAGCCAGGAGTGCCATGGGCCGTGCCCTGGGCTAGGCTGGCCTCCGAGGGAGGCGGGCCTCCCCAGAAGGACACAGAGCCTGGCCAGCGGGAACCCTCAGAGACCCAAGCCGAAGATGGCCTCCAGGATAACTGGGTGTTGAATCATCGGGAGTGTGAGAGCTGGGGTGCAGGGAGATCGCCCTGCCTGCTTTCCACATGTCCACGCCCTGTGGCTGTGGGGGCTTGCCTGCCCCCTTCCCTCACTTACCCTGCCCTCTCTCCCCCTGCCTTCAGTCTTCCTGCAAGGAGAATCCTTTTAACCGGAAGCCATCCCCTGCAGCATCCCCTGCCACCAAGAAGGCCACCAAGGGATCCAAACCGGCAAGACCACCTGCCCCCGGCCATGGCTTTCCGCTCATCAAACGCAAGGTGCCAGCAGGGGAGTCCCCCCAAACGCAGAGCTTATCTGAGCCTCACTCCCCCTCCCTGCCCAGCTTCAGGCTTCCCATGGGACTCCCACAGGGGGACTGGGGGTGGTTTGCCTAGGAGGCAGAATGTGTAGCTTGGGAGCCTAGGGCAGATCAGCCACCTGCCCACAGGGGTTGCGGTGGGGGGGGCATGCTTGCCCTGCTATAGCCCTTCTGGAGTATGTGTGTTGAGGTGGAAATCAGAATGTCATGGCTCCCTGTGGGTGTGCGAGGCCAGCGGCGTGGGGGGCATGGCTATCTCCACACCCAGCCCTTACCCACCCTGTGCTGCTGCCTGTGGCCCAAACCCCTGGAAGCCCACAGTGATTGCCACTGGGCTTTAGAAAGCTAAGAGCTCCAGGCAGGCGGGCAGGTCAGCCTTTAGGTGACCAGGACATTCCCGGGCAGGTCCAGGCTGACCAATACATCCCTGAGGAGGACATCCATGGAGAGATGGACACCATTGAGCGCCAGCTGGACGCCCTGGAGCACCGGGGGGTCCTGCTGGAGGAAAAGCTGCGTGGGGGTGTGAATGGTGAGGGGCTGTTATGAGGGTCTGGCCCCGGGGCAGCGGGGAGGCCCCAGGGTGGTGGTGGGAACCTCTCTTTACAGGGATGGGGGCAAGGGAGCCAAACTGGAACTTGCACCAGCTCTGGCCTTGGTGGCATCTGGCTTTTAGAGGGCCGTGAGGATGACCTGCTGGTGGACTGGTTCAAGCTCATTCACGAGAAGCACCTGCTGGTGCGGCGGGAGTCGGAGCTCATCTATGTGTGAGTGTCCCCTTGCCCTTGCCCTGGTTTGTGGGTCCCTAAACCTAAGGAGAGGGACCCTTGGCCTCCCAGGTCGTCACTGGGGCAGGGCAGCCTTGTTAACAGCCGCCCTTCTCCCACCTCACCCCCACCTCCAGCTTCAAGCAGCAGAACCTGGAGCAGCGGCAGGCCGATGTGGAGTATGAACTCCGCTGCCTCCTCAACAAGCCGGGTGAGCAGTTGCCCGGGGGCACGGGGCAGCGGGCGACCCAGGGGCTCCAGGGGACAGCTGCAAAAGGGAGCTGTGTGCACAGGATGGGGTGTGGACTTGTCATGGACACCAGGCAGGGTGTCTGACAGTCCCCAACCTGCCGAGAGGATGCTGGCATGTTCCCAGCCTCGGTGGCTTCAGGGCAGAACAAGAATGAAGGGATGCCACATCTTAGGGTCATCTCATGGCCAGAAGGCAGTGGCCATGGACGACTGGCTCTATGCCCCAGGGGGCGGGGAAGGGGGTTCCAGCTGCAGTGTATCCCAGTCTCACAGGACCCTGCAGAGGCTGAGCTGGGAACCGGGCTTCAGCTACTCCTGTGTTGTGTTCCTGAGTGGGGCCTGTCCCTGCACACTCAGTCTTCTGGCCGGCCGGACAGTGATACTGGTCTCGCCCCTGACCTGGGGAAGCGGCAGATTGCCTCAGGAGGCTGGGCGACACCCTGTGGCCAGAGTAGGCATAGCCATGCTGGTCCAGCCCCTGTCCCAGTGGCAGACACCGCCCACCCTGGGCCAGGGGACATGTCCCAGTTGCCGTAGGCTGATGGTGTTTCTGCATGAGGACATGTGGGGCTCCCTGCTGTCACTTCACCCTGGTCCACATGCAGCGTTGTGCACTGTGTGACTATGCTGACCTCTGTTCTTAGACCTGTGTTGTGGGGGCCCCCCTGAAGGGCTTCTCTGGGTAGCAACCCAGTATCCTTGTCTCTTCTTTAACCACCTTCATTTTTCCCCAGGACTTCAGGGCCCCATTCAGCTGGCTCCTGCCTCCCCTGTTCCTGTGACCCAGCCAGCATCCTGGGGTTGGGGGCTGCAAGGGAAGGGAGCTTCCCCACTGCTCACACCCCTGACTGTTCTCCCTGGGCAGAGAAGGACTGGACGGAGGAGGACCGGGTCCGGGACAAGGTGCTGATGCAGGAGCTGGTAACCCTCATTGAACAACGCAACGCCATTGTCAACTGCCTGGATGAGGACCGGCAGAGGTGCCCTGGCTGGGGCTGGTGCGGGGGGAAGAGGCCCAGAGCAGCCCAGCCAAGGGTCCGCTGGGGCAGGGTGGGAGAGGGGCAGAGTCCGAGACACAGTGCTCAGGCCAGCTCAGACCCCACCGGTGCCTGGCAAACCCAGCACAGCCTGTTCCTGCCCTCCACGGTTCCGGTAGCCAGAAGGGATTTAGAGAGGTTCTTGTCCATCCCCACTACAGGGAAGAAGAGGAAGACAAGATGTTGGAAGCCATGATCCGGAAGAAAGGTGAGGCTTTGCTTCCGCAGGCAGGTGTTTGGGTCTGGCAGCCTAGCCCATGGGAGCACCCAGGCATGGCACGGGGTGCTGGAGGATGCTGTGTGCCAATACTTTAGCTTGGGTTCTGTTGGGAAGGCCACGTGCAGCAAGGGAGGCCAAGCTTCAGCCAGGAGGGCCATGGCTAGGGAGGACTGTGGTCTACTGTGGGCATCGTCCCCAGGGAGTCTGGGTTGGGGAGCTGTGGACAGACCGTGGTGCCCACTAAGAACCACAAGGTTCCTGGGCCACTTGCAGGAGTGCTGGGCTGCTGAGGCAGAGCTCCTCGGGTTTTTGCCAAGTTCCACCAGTGACTCACTGTGTCTTGACTCAAGCTGGAGTCTGACCGCGTGGCTGTCAGCTACAGCTGTGGCACAGATGAGCTGGGCACCCTGGCCCAGCGCCAGGGCAGTGGTGGCTATGCCTGTATGTGTACATTCAGAACCACACTTAGCCCAGGGCCTGGTGCCCTCAGACAGCACAGGTGGTGTGAGTCTGCTTTTAAAGAACCCCCCACATCCCATTTTCCTTGTACGTGAGATTCAGGGCTCAGAGAGGTGCTTTCTGAGGGTCCAGCGAGGCCTGGTAGTGCTTGTGTCAGGGCACAGGAGCTGTGAGCTCCGGTGCAGGTGAATTGGGGGTCAGGGTTCCTAGGCAGGTGTTCTACCTGATTGGTCCTTGCCACACGGAGAGAGGATGTGTCCCAGGCCCAGGGGAACAGGTCAAAGTCTGGAGACATGTGGGGTGACGTGCTGAGCCCTGCTGGCTGACGCCAGGACTATAACAACCCCTCCCCCGGCCCACCCCAGAGAGACATTTTCCCATCTTGCCTCACCCCACCTTTGTCTTTTGCAGAGTTCCAGAGGGAGACTGAATCTGAGGGCAAGAAGAAGGGCAAGTTCAAGACCATGAAGGTGCTGAAGCTGCTAGGGAACAAGCGTGAGGCCAGGAGTAAGGCCCCCGGGGACAGGAGCTGACCACAACAGGGCTGCCGGGCCCTGCTGCTCCTGGATCGGCTGCCAGGCTGTGCTTCAGCCAAGAGGAAAGAGAACTTCTAGGGAGGGAGCCCCTGACCTGAGGCCTCTCCCCGCTCAGGGTCCTTTGGCTGGTCTGGGCCAAAGAGCTTCCCCCTTCTCTCTGTGTGCCCCAGGCAGTGGTGACTCAGCCCTGCCACCTCCACATGCCGTGACTGACCCCAAGGCCAAGCTGGCTCCACCATCCCGGGCCTGCTTCCCTGTGTGCCACCCCTACCCTGGTAGGCTGGCTCCTCGCTTCCTTTTCACAGTCCCAAGTTCTGGCTGCCGTGGCAGGTGCAGGGGCAGGGCCGGCTCTTCAGCTTCCTCCTGCTCTGCACAGGAGGAAAGTTCCCCCATCCCTCACTCTGCTCTATTTATGAAGTCCCCTGTTCCGTCTGTGCTAGCTGCCATGAGGGTGGGCTGTGTTGCTTGCCTCCTCCCCTTACCCTTAGGGTTCTCTCCAACTGACTGCTTCCCCCAGCCTAGAGCTGGGGGGCACGCTGGGGTGGACATGCTCGGGTAGGTGCTAATCCTGCTTATTTGCCTTGTTGGTGCTGTTCCCAGGCCTGATGGAGAGCACTGCACTGTAGGGTCAGGGCTAGCACCCGTCACTGGGATGTGCCAGAATCCCTCTTGCCCCTGCCAGCTGCACTCCCGTCCGGGAGAAGAACACATGCTGTACCAACTCTCACTCGCTTTCACCAACAATAAACAGAGACCACCTCCAGTGCCAGTGCCCCACAGCCTCGAGCCACAGCCCCGCCTGGCTGGGCAGCCTTGGCTGCCCTTCAGGGGGACATGCAGGGGCCATCTCCCTAGAGCAGGGTGTTCTGCCAAGGACCAGATGAGCAGTGATGGTGCCATTCATGGGTCACACAGAATGATCAGCTATGGATGTACTGAATTTCCGGTCGTCCCTGGAGTTACCTTGGCAGAGCCAGCCCCGGTGATTCTGTGGACCTGGTGCATCTCACGGGCCGACCTTCCCCACCCCCAAAGGGGTCCTTGGCTCTTGGGCTGTAGGGAGGTACCTGCTTCTGCAGGGGGCCAGGTGACAGCTGCAGCAGTGCCTCCGAGGCCTGTCAGGATGGTGAGTAATGTGCAACTTGAGGACTGAGGGGTGGTGGTGGGGTAGCAGCTGAAGGCCAAGGGGGTGCTGCTTTCAGCTAAAGCTGCTGTGATTGCTTGGGTCCGTGTGGCCAGGCTTTTCCCATGGTTTTAATGCAGCTGGAGATGCATCTGGCAGGTGCGGCTTGTCAGTGCCGATTGCTCATGGGAGAATCCATCAGGCTTTGTGGGCCTGGGCTGGTTTTGCTCTGAGGTAGGGCTTGTCAGGGTGCATGGTGGCCAGCCTGGCATGTTACATCCTCTGCTTTTAGGTTCCTGTGGGTGTGTGAACAGAGGTTGCCCCTGGCACATCCCAGAGCCAGAACCTGCCTGTTGGTTCTGTATGTAGACCACAGATCAGCTCACGTACTCTGATGGGGCTGCAAGGCAGGGCCAGACCCTCCACTGTATTTTGGTGGTTGATGGGGACAAGAAGAGAGAGAGGATAGTGGAGAAGGTAGGGCTCATGGGGGAAAAGGGCCAATGGACTGGGTGCTAGACCAGGGGATGGGGAGGGGCATCCCGTGCCAGGTTAGCCCTCACGGTGGCCCTGTCCAGGGAAGTCTCACAGATGTGGGTTTTGCTCAAGGTCACAAGTGCATGCAGGAATTGGGGCTTCCAGCAAGACCCTTGCACCCCTTTGTGGAAAGCCACAGAACTCACTTAACACCCCAGCATGGCTGCTTACTAGTTCAATGCCTTTGGGTGCAGGATCTTGGGAGCCTCATTTTCCATCCATGGAAAAGTCATCATCGTTATCTCTAGTTCACGGAAATAATGAACTCAGACTGAAGTTCAAGCACCCACGAGTGCTGCTTTATTTGCACTTGAAATATGCTTGTAGGTCTTGAAAAAACCACCTGTGCTAGCAAGTTCTAACTCCTTGAACAAATAAGCTTTATCCCTCCAAAAACACAATGACCAGGAGAGTGTATTTTATTGGCCAGTTGGTGGTTTAACATTTGCCCAAGGCTGCATGGAGTCGCCTCTGCTGGTCCCTGACACAGGTGGGAAGAAAGCACCGTGTTCCCTCCCAGGACACACAGGGGAGAGAGCCCACTGGGTGCCCTTGGGGTGCACATCCAAGATCACAGGACTAGGGCTCAGTGTTGTCTGTGACCGGGGCCCTGTTCTCTGTCTTTGTGGCTGCAGGTCTCCCAGGGCAGGGCCAGTGTGCCAGGATGCTGGGGATGTCCTGGACTTGCCGAGGCAGGGCAAGGCTGTGTGGCCCAGGGTGACATGGTTGGGCTGGATGGGTGGTGACCCTGCCCAATGAGGGGTGGGCCCTTGTGGTTAAGGCTGGGCTCTGGATTAAGCGATGTCAACAGCTTTGCTGAGTTCCTCACTCCTCTTGCGGTCAATGTCTTCCATCTCCCGTATTTTCTGCAGAGGGTGTTGATGAGCGCTGGGGTCAGCATGGGGACATGGATCCCAGGATGCACAGCTGCCTGTACGTGTCCCTGCTCACTTCCTGCTGCCCTCCTACCTGGGAGATCTCGGCAAGGATGAGTGCTCGGTACTGCCGGCCTTGGCCCAGGGCCTCCATGGCAGCCAGGAACTCCTTCCTGTCCTGGATCTCCCGTACCACTGGGCAAGAGGAGAAGGTTTTCAGGGTACCTCTTCCTGGTTGGGGCTCCTCCCCCTCCCCTACCCAAGTGCTCACATTCCTCGAAACGGTCCGGCTCAGGGGCTGGGTCCTTCTGCCGCATGGGACGAGCCTTCCTTCTTGGTTCCTCTGTGTCCTTCCCAGTGGCAAAGATGTTCTGGAGTCTAAGTTTCTCCTTCTCCAGGTCTCCTGCAGGGCCCAGAGTGAAGGTGCAAATGGTGCCCCCTTCACGAGCTGTCCCCATGGCAGGCAGGCAGGCATGCTACAGGGGCCCTGGGCTGTAGCGAGGGGGCTTCTGCTGGCACAGCATCTCCCCTGGTGCTCCTTGGGCTTGTCAAAATTAATAGGAACAGAGGGGAAGCAGCACAGGTTGTGGGGGTGCACAGCAAGGCTATGGGAGTTTGGGGCCTGGTGGCCTAAGCCCTGCCATGGGGAGCACAGCTGGAGTGTGGGTGTAGCCCAGGCATGGGGGTTCCAGCAGATCTGGGAAGGGGCAGGGCCAGAAGAAGCCAGGTGGGCAGGGGCAGGAATGGTTCCTGCAGCAGGGCTGGGGCCCGGAGGGGATCCATCTGGGGATTGTGCGGTGACAAGGACATGGCTTTGATGGTCCCATGCCCACCAGAGCCCCCCTCTGTCTGCCATTGGCTCCCTTGTATCCCATACATGTCTGGGCTGACACACACGGGGTGGGAGAATGTTGATTAGTACCTGTCTTCCCCTTCACACACACACACACACACACACACACACACACACACACACACACAGGCCCCAGCTGAGGCCCTGTCACTCACGGGTGGCCTGTGGCTTGAACTGCTCCCGGCTGTAGGCCCCGTTGGCTTGGCACAGGCTGACAGGCCTCAGGTGGGAGCGGGCAGCTAGGATGGGAGGCAGGTAGATAGCTGGTGCCGGCAGTGGCTGCCTCCCAGGCGAGCCCCGCTGGCTGGATGTGGGGCTGCATTGCAGGGGTAACGTGTCTCCTCCTGGGGAAGCAGGGTCCGGTGAGAGGAGCCCCACCCTGCCTTTCTCAATGCCCAGCTGCCTTCTGTTTCTTTCACAAAATTGGTGGCCACCTGTTACAGGAGCAGTGGGGAGGCCCCCATCCTCTGCCACGGGCAGGAGGATTTCACTGTCTCCCCTTCTGGCTATGTTTGTGTTGCAATCACTCCGCATGTGTCCAGGGAGGGACAGTCATGGCTCCCAAACACTGGATTGTGCTGTATTCAATTCGGACTGTTTCCACTGAACAACGTATCACGGACATTTTTCCAGAAAAATCCACACATACAACTTATTATTTTTTATAGCTATATACAAATCCTTCCAATGCACACATTATTTATTCAGCTAGTCCCCAGGATTTTAGAAAATCAGGTCATTCTTCCCCGGGGGTGGGATTGGATTTCCTTTTTTTTTTTTAATTTTTTACTACTTTACACAATGCTGCAATAAATGTCTTTGTAAATCTTGTCTGCACTGGCACTTTCCTTCTCCATGTGGATTCCTGAATGTTCTGCTTGGGCCAAGTGGGATCATGTGGATGGCAATCGTGCCTCTCTGTCCCACTGTCACCAGTGCTCCTGCCCCAGCCAGCCTGTCAGTCACTTTAACCCTGGGTCCCGCTCATGGCTTTGATCTGCCCCCATCCTGTGCCTAGCCTTCCAGTTCTGGTCAGCATATGGGTACTGGGCATCTCCCCTATGTCAGCCTGTGGGCATGGAGAGGTGTAGGTGGTCGGAGCACTTGAGTTCTGCCCCCACCCCCAGGTCTTCAATTTGAGGTCAGGACAGTGGTATGGGTGATGATCAGGGAAGTGACCGCTATGGGACCTTGGCCGGCTGCAGTGCGTATGTATTATAGAACAACAGTTTGAGCAGGTGGCCCAGGAAGGCCTGGTGGAGGACAAGATGGGAGGGAAGGCCCAGGCTTGGCAGATATTCAAGGGAGGATGTCCCAGGCCGAGGGGGCAGCTGTGGCCAAGCCTCTGGGATAGTAGAGGTCAGAGGACATGGAAGTCTCTGGAAAGATGCTTTTTTGTGAGGTGGGAGGCCAGGGTAAGGTTTTGAGTAGCAGAGGGGTCCTTGGGCAGTTTCAGGGTCCAGGGCAAGGGTGAGATGGGCTGTGAGGCTGTGCAAGTTCTGTGCAGCGCCCATGGGGATCTGGGTGGCCAGAGGTTGTGGGAGAGAAGGGGTACAGAGTCCGGACAGGGTGAAGGTGGAGCAGGCAGAGATGCTAAACTGGAGACAGGGTGTCGGAGCATGAGGGGCATGCAGGGAGCAGGAATATGGCGCTGCTTTCCCTGAGGCCCAGCTGGGCCTTCCCCTGAGGGCCTCCCTCCCTCTGGCCCACTCTCAGCACACAGCCTGGGCTTAAGCAGACCTGGCACAGTCTCCCTCCAGTGGCCAGAGTGGGCAGCTGCTCCCAGAATTTACCTCTGGTTCTTTAGAAAACTATTCTGACCCTTCCATGTAGACTCCTTGAGCCACAGTCAGGGGTGGTTTCAAGAGTGCCCTGGGCTCCTTGCTAAGGTGCCTGAATAATCCCACTCTTTGTTTTGTTTCTTCATGCTTTACTTTTGTTAAGAAAAGAGGAGGGGCTGGCACTGTGGTGCAGTATGCTGTCTCCTGCTGTGCTGGCATCCACAGAATATCAGTTTAAGTTCTGACTGTTTCATCCAGCTCCCTGCTGATGTTCCTGGAAAGCAGCAGAGGATGGCCCAAATCCTTGGACCCCTGCACCCATGTGGGAGACCTGGAAGTAGCTCCCGGCTTCTGGCTTTGAATTAGCCTGCCTCTGGCCATTGTGGCCATTTTGGGAAGCACACCACACCAGTGGATGGAAGATCTCTCTCTTGTCCCTCCCTGTTTTCTCTTTCTGTAATTGTTGGGATTCAATCAACATCTTACTTCTTTTTTTTTTTTTAAAGATGTATTCATTTTTATTGCAAAGTCAGATATACAGAGAGGAGGAGAGACAGAGAGGAAGATATACTGTCCGATGATTCACTTCCCGAGTGACTGCAATGGCTGGAGCTGAGCTGATATGAGGTCAGGAGCCAGGATCTTGCTCCAGGTCTCCTATGTGGGTTCAGGGTCCCAAGGCTTTGGGCTGTACTAGACTGCTTTCCCAGGCCACAAGCAGGGAGCTGTATGGAAGTGGAGCTGCCAGGATTAGAACTGGCAACCATATGGGATCCTGGTTCGTTCAAGGTGAGGACTTTAGCCCCTAGGCTACTGTGCTGGGCCCAACATTTTATTTCTGCTGGCTCCTGGGAGTGAGTGACACAATGAAGAGGACATGGAGCCTGTTTTCCAGGCAGGGCTTCCCTGGTACGTGTAGGGGATAAAAGACACAGCCCTGGCGAAGCCCTCACTGGTGCTCAGGCAAGTGGCAGGAGCCAGGGCCCAAGAAGCCACCAGGCCTCGTGAGGCTAGTTCCCCAGGAGCAAGGGGCAGATGTGCTTGCCATGGGTTCAGTCTTTGCAGCAGGGTCCCTACTCTCCTAGCACAGAGAAGTGCCAACTGCGGCCCCACGCCCCCTGCCTGCGAAGACACGATGGACTGCCTCTTACTTTTCAGGGTGTCTGTGATGTGCCGCTGTTGGAAGTTAGTCAGCTTGGATTCTTTCATCATCACTGCAAGATAAATACACGCACACACAACTTCCATGAGGCCTCCTGGGCTGCACGACAAACGCCCCCATCACATCCCACTGCAATGTTAAATCCCATTATCCTTAGGGAGCAGGTGCTGTGCCCCAGTCTAGCAGCTTAAGCCTCCCCCCGAGACACTGGCATCCCATATGGATGTGTTTATTACTTTTTTAATAGATACTTATTTTTTCTTTAAAGACCTATTTATTTTTATTGGAAAGGCAGATCATATTTGTGGAGAAAAGGAGAAGCAGAGAGGAAGATCTTCCGTCTGTTGGTTCACTCCCCAAGTGACCACAACGGCTGGAACTGAGCCAGTCCCAAGCCAGGAGCCTCTTCTGGACCTCCCACATGGGTGCAGGGTCCCAAGGTTTTAGCCAGTCCTTGACTGCTTTCCTAGGCCACAGGCAGGAAGCTAGACAGGAAATGGAGTAGCTGGGACACAAACTGGCAACCATATGGGGAGGATTAGCCAACTAACCATTGGGCTACCTTGCTCCCCTCATATGGGGTTTATTGAGTCACTTCCGATCTAGATTCTTGCTAATGTCCTGGGAAAGCAACAGAGGACGGCCCAAGCCGTTGGGCTTCTGCCACGCACGCGGGAGAAGCTCTGGCTGTTGTGGCCACTTGGGGAGTGAACCAGCAAATGGAAGAGCTGTCTCTCCTTCTCTCTGTAGCCCAGCCTCTACAGAGCAGGACTGAATCTGGAAGCCAGAACACATTTGTGGGTGGCTGGGACCCAGACTTGAGCTGGCAGCACTGCCTCCCAGGGTCTGTGCCAGCAGGAAGCTGGGGCCAGGAGCAGGGAACTGCACTCAGGCACTTGACGGGGCACTGGTGTTGTGCACTGGGCATTCCCCTTCTGCTTTTCTGCCATGCACACAGTTTGTTAATTCGCTGTATTATTTGTTGCCAATCTACTGCCACTTCAGCTTTGTTCTTCAACCATGTCTCCAGCACCTGGCAAGGTCTGAAACTTTGTATCTTTGCAGTTGTGTAAATCATGTGAATGGATGCCGGTTCATAGAGACCCCTGGGCTGCAGCTCAAGTGGAAGATCAAGCAGGCAGGGTGTCAGCTAAATCTCTGACAACAGGCTGTGCTAAGTGCTGGGGGGAAGGTATGTGGTCCCATAAGTGCTCCCCACAGCCTGGGCCTTCCTGAGAAAATCCTCCTTGTGGTTTAGAGGGGCTGACTTGTGCCCTTAGTCTGTGTGCACCCCACTCGTTGTCCGGGAAGGAAAGGCGCAGGTGCTGAGCTGCTGTTCCCGCCCCTTTCCTCCTGGTGTCCCCCAACACTGACCTCTCAGCAGTTCGCACGTCCCCGGTGTGTAAGGGGTCGGCTTGGAGCAACGCCAAGGGGTCGATCCTTTGCTCATTGCCTCCACCCTCTCCTGCCAAGTCACAAGAGAAGCCTGAGAGGGGAGATACGCAACGGCACACGCCGCCTCCTACCCACCCCTCAAGCCTCTGCTCCCCAGGGCCCCAGCCCCCTGAAATCCGCAAGCAGGGGTCGGCTGGCACAGAACCGCTACGTCACCAGTGCACACCGAGCCAGCGCCTCTTCCTCTCACCCGGACGCCCGGACACCCGGAGAGGTACACACTGAATGTCCCTCTTTGATCCTGACCTCGCGCCTCGGAGCAAGGCCATGGACAGACAGGCTTAGTCACCCCAGTACCCGTCAAGTGATCCTCCTCTCCCGCTAAAGCAAGACCCACAGAGAGGCGCACGGGGTTCCTGGAGACCGAGACCACGCTCCGGCGCAGCAGCAGCCACCCCAGCACGGCGCAGACTACTGCGGCTCACTCACTGGAGCGACGGCGCGGTTCTGGTTACCAAGGCAACGAGACACGTCACTCTCGTGCGCACCTCCGCCTCCCGGAAGTACCGTCTACGCGTCACGGCGCAGGCGCCAGTGGCAGCGCGGAGCGGCGCAAGGAAAGGTGCGCGGTTTGGGTTCGTACGGTGGTCGGTCCCGAGGGCTGCGGAGGCGTCGTCATGTCGGACAACGAGGACAAGTGAGTGTGGGAGCCTCCGGATGGGCGAGGCGGGGCGTCCGGGAGTCAGGGGGTCAGGCCTGCGGGGAGGCCTGGCGTGGACCAGGTGGAGAAGAGGAGACGGGGTTCTTGAATTCTTTAAGGTTAGACGAAGGAGGGGAAGGGGTTTGTGGGAGAGAGCTCTTTGCTGAAGATCAGACCGTGGGAATCGTCACGGTGTAGTGGCTTTCCCAGGCCAAGAGCAAGGAGCTGGATGGAGAGTGGAGCAACCAGGACTCGAACCAGCGTCGGTGTCTGATGCTGGCGCCGCAGGTGGAGGAGCAGTGTATTATGCCACCGTGCCGCTCCCTGCCCCCCCCCCAAAAAAAAAGTTTCTTTGAAGATGAGGAAATACGTGTTTAAATTGTCTTGGGCATGAGTCAGGTGGCGGGGGGGAGACAGTGCTGGCGTTGATGGAAGGAAGGCTGGTTCCCTCCGGAAGTGGCGGTTTTTGGGGGGACCCCGGGCTCATGGTTTGGACTGGCCGATCTCTCCGACAGCTTTGACGGCGATGACTTTGACGATGTGGAGGAGGATGAAGGGCTGGATGACTTGGAGAACGCCGAGGAGGTCAGTTCAGCTGCCAGGACTCCAGTCCGTGTCCTGAGCCACCTGCCGGCTGGAGACCCTCCGGCAGCCCCCGGGCTGGCTGCGGATGCAGGGAAACTCCTGGGGCTGGTGGTTCGCTGGCCAGGGAAGCTTTTGCTTCTCTCATTCTTTTCTTTCTTTCCTTTCTTCGGTTTCTTTTCTTTTTGTAAAGATTTATTGGAAAGTCAGATATACAGAGAGACAGAGAGGAAGATCTCTCGTCTGCTGATTTACTCCCCAATTAGCCGCAATGACTGGAGCTGAGCTATTTCGAAGCCAGGAACCTCTTCGTGGTCTCCCACAGGGGTGCAGGGTCCCAAGGCTTTGGGCTGTCCTTGATTGCTTTCCCAGGCCACAGCAGGGAGCTGGATGGGAGACGCGGCCACCGTGATTAGAATCGGCGCCCATATGGGATCCTGGTATGTTTAAGGCGAGGACTTTAACCGCTACGTTATCGCCCAGGCCCTCTGCTTCACTTCTGACCCAAGATCTGTTTGTGACCTGGAAAAGCAGTGGAGGATGGGCCAAGTCCTTGGGTCCCTGCACTTATGTGGGAGACCTGGAAGAAGCGCCTGGCTCCAAATCAGCTCAGCTCTGGCTGTTGCAGCTACCTGGGGAGTGAACCAGTGGATAAAAGATCTCTTTCTGTGTCTTTCCTCTTGTCTGTATAAAATATTCCTTTCAAATGAAATTAAATCTGTCTTTAAAGATGAACCTGGGTGTGTGTAGCCATTCCCACCTTGCCCTGACCCTTCTGGCCACTTGACCTGGAGGGCTGCCTGGTTCCCTGCTGGGAGTGACTCTCCATGCCCAGGGACTTGTTCATGCTGGCATCCCCGGTCCCCCAGCTGTAGGTGCCCTGCTGTGCCCCCTCTTTGAGGTAGCTGGTCCTGGAGTCCTGAGGAGGCTCCCCCTTGCGGCCAGGCCTGAGGCTCCAGCGCTCTCCGCTCACCGTCATCCCCACTCACTGCTCTTGGGAGGACTCCAGGGCACATGGCTGCCCTGGCCCTGGCATGCAGTCAGCATCATCAACATGCTAGGAGAGTGGGCATGCTCGGGCCCCTCCCTCACATTGTCCCCCTTGCCGTGTCGTCTTGGTGTCCAGGAGGGTCAGGAGAACGTTGAGATCCTCCCCTCTGGGGAGCGACCACAGGCCAACCAGAAGCGAATCACCACACCGTACATGACCAAGTACGAGCGAGCCCGCGTGCTGGGCACCCGCGCCCTGCAGATTGCGTGAGTACGGGGGCCTGCACCAGGGAGAGGGAGTGGCCTGCTCGGGGAGGGGGTCCATGGAAGGCGTGACAGCATGAGGCAGGGCTTCTTCTTGAGGCTTCCCTCTGGCCTTGCCTTCTGAATGTGGAAGAATAGCAAGATTGAGGAGCCAGGTGCCTGGTCAGGAAACCTGTGAGGTGGCTGAGGTCCTGGGCTCAGCGCGGGGCTGCCTGCGAGCCACTGTCTACTGGCAGGTGCTTTGAGAAATCCGGCAGGACTCTTGACCCCATGGTCACTTGCCAGCACTTCCTTCCAGAGAGGGCGGGAAGCTGATGCTGTCATGGGAGAGGGGGAACAGGGAATGGGGAGACCCAGGCTGAGGAAGGGTGTCCCATGAGGAGCCACGTGCAGACTGGTATGGAAGGGCTTCCAGGAGCCAGGTGCGGCTTAGGTGGGAAGGAGCGGCGGGGGCCGCGGGTTGAGGCCCTGCTTGCTGGCAGGCAGTCGCCCTTTCTCGGTGCTCCCACCTAGGGTCTGAGCAGTGGTGGCCTCCTCCCCTCCGCCCCTGGGGGTGAAGCCGGCTGCCGTGGACCTCGGAATAGCAGGTTTGCTGGGAGGCAGCTTGTGCTCAGCCACCGTTCTCTGAACACAGAGCCCGTGCTGCTCCCACCCACGCTGGTGGCAGTCAGCTGGATGTGGCTGTTGTGTTACTGTGGTTTTTTGTTTTTGTTTTAAGATTTATTTGTTTATTTTTAAAGGCAGAGACAGAAGAAGGTCTTCCATCTGCTGGTTCACTCCCCAAATGGCCATAAAGGCCAGAGCTGAGCCAATCTGAAACTGGGATCCTTTTCTGGGTCTCCCATGTGGGTGCAGGGGCCCAAGGATCTGAGCCATCCTCCACTGATTTCCCAGACCGCAGTCAGGGAGATGAATGGGACGTGGACCAACCAGGGCATGAACCGGTGTCCATATGGGATGCCAGCGTCACAGGACAAAGGATTAGTCTGATGAGTCTCTGTGCTGGCCCCTGCTTATGGCTGTTTAAGTTAAAAATAAACTCAGTTTCTTCCTCACTAGCCCCATTGGAAGCACTTAGTGGCCACATGTGGTCAGCGGTTGCCGTGGAGCTACAGAGCTGTGGGACATTTTTTTTACATGATTTATTTATTTATATTGGAAAGTCAGATATACAGAGAGGAGGAGAGACAGGAATATCTTCTGTCTGAGATTCACTTCCCAAGTGACCGCAGTGGCTTGAGCTGTGACGATCTGAAGCCAGGAGCCAGGAACCTCTTCCGGGTCTCCCACATGGATGCAGGATCCCAGTGCTCTGGGCCGTCCTCGAATGCTTTCCCAGGCCACAGCAGGGAGCTGGATGGGAAGTGGAGCTGCCAGGATTAGAACCGGCGCCCATATGGGATCCTGGTACGTTCAGGATGAGGACTTTAGCTGCTAGGCCACGCTGCCAGGCCCCGTGGGACATTTCTAATTGTAGAGCATGATTGGGGCACAGGCTTGGTGCAGCAGTGGTGTGGGACGCCTTGGGGACATCAGCCATGATCTTCCTGGAGTGGGGGCGGGGTGGATATGGGCCTTTAAACAGGATTCAGGGCAGTCATGAGTGAAGGCTTAGAGTCACAGGAGATGACGGGTACTCGCAGAGTCATCAGGAAGGCTTCATGAGGGGACCAGGAGTCTAATAGAGGCATCAGGGGAGGCAGATTTGTGGCTATCAGGTGTGGGGAGCAGCACAAGGAAAGCCGGGGGCAGGCAGCTGGGGCTCTGGGAGCCCTGGCAAGGAGCTTGGGGCACACGGCTGAGCAGTGGTCGCTAGGGTTGTGGGTGACATGATCCGGTTGGCAGTGTGGAAAAGTCGATGTTCTGAGGCCACCTACGGATCGCTTGTACGTCCGAGCATCCCCAGGCTGGTCTACCTTAGTCTAGTCTGGTGTTCTTGTTGATTTTAAGGTTCCCTTCTAGTGGAAGCCCTCTTATGAGCCACCACCTCCCTGCTGACTCAGACTGGTTTTGACCTGGCTCATTGGCGCCACCTGGTGGCTGGTGTGACTTGTGATGCTAGCTTCCTAAGTGGGTGCCTTGTTCTGTGGTGCCAAGGCCCGTGGTGTGCATGTGGAAGAGGCCAGAGGGCTGAATGCCCATTTGTTAATCACCTCGTGTATGACTGTTGTATAGCAGGTTTTTTTTTTAAGATTTATTTTTATTGGCAACGCAGATATGCAGATCTAGGAGGAGAGACAGAGAGGAAGATCTTCCATCTGTTGATTTACTCCCCAGGTGGCTGCAACAGCCGGTGCTGTGTCGATTTGAAGCCAGGAGCTCAGATCCTCTTCCAGGTCTGCCATGTGGGTACAGGGTCCCAAGGCTTTGGGTCATCCTCGCCTAACCTCTCAGGCCACAAGCAGGGAGCTGTGTGGGAAATGGGGCCACTGGGATTAGAACCAGTGCCCTCATGGGATCTCAGTGCATTCAAAGTGAGGACTTTAGCTGATAGGCCATGGCGCTGGACCCTATGTGTAGCATTCTGTGTAGCTTCCCGTGTGGGGAACCACATGAAAGTGCACTAAGGAACTGTGTGGGAAAAGGAGATCATTGGGTCCTGGCGCTGGGAAATGGTTTGGCTTTTTAGAGTCAGAAATAAGAATGTTTAGTAATTAAATTAGTAAGTCAGTAGCTGTCAGAGCAGATGGTTATCAGAGCCATCCAGGCAGCCTTGGAATGCACATTCCAGGCCCTTTAATGTGAGAGTGTCTGAGGGTCTGCAGAAGGGCCTGGGAGTGTGCATTTTAGGCATGCTGTCTTAGCAGGCCTGGGAAGTGAGGCAGCCTCAGGACAATGGAAGGGTGGGCGGCCTCTGGGCTGGTGGCTGTGGGGGGTCATGTGGACCAAGAGCAGGTGGGTACCTCACCCTTGTGGAGGCTGGGGTGGGCCCAGCTGGAAGAGTGAGCCCCCTGGTGGGAGCCCTGCTACCACACAGAGAGAATGACAGGAGCTGGGCATTGAGGCTGGCTCGTGGGCTTGGGTGATGTGGTCAGGGCTGTGCCTTGGTGCTCTGCCATGGCCACTGGGCTCGGGTGTGTGTGCCAAGTCCTCTGATGGGGAAGCCACCTTGACCCACGTGTGGCACCTCATGCATGACACCAAAACTTGCCATGTTTGTGTACTTGTCTGGAGCTGACCAAGCTTCAGCTTGGCACATGGGAAGTGGAATGAGGAGCATGCTCGGCTCACGTCACAGCCCTGGCCTTTGCTGGTTACGTGGCCTTGGGCGAGGCACCGAGTGCTCCAGGCCTCGTTGTCCTGGTCAGTAAAATAGTCCACGGCACCCGGCGGTGAGCCAGCCCGAGACCCCGGGGAGGCTGCCTGTGTGCCACGGGGCCCTCGGGTTCCGAGCCTGGCTCTGGCAACCAGCAGGGCGGACCCTGTTGGAGATTTTCTTTCTCTAACAGAGAATTGAGAGGTAAATATCTGCACCATAGAATCCAGTGTCCGTAAGGGAGATGCCACAGGATGCCAGAGGAGAAATTCAAGCACTTCGTGAAAAGGAGACTAACTCCTCGTCCCTGACGGTCAAGTACACAAACTAAGCCCCCAGAACAGACTGCTGGAGTGGCCATTTGGTTTGGCAGTTAGAGCGCTGGTGAAGGGCAGCCTGTGCGCCCAGGTTTGATGCCTGATGCTGGCCATAGTTCCACCTTCCTGCTGTGCGCACCCTGAGCAGCACTGTGGTGGCACAAGGAATTACAGGGGAGACCCAGATAGAATTCCTGGCTCCTGACTTTGCTCGAGCCCAGCCCTGACTGTTGTGGGCATTTGGACAATGAGTCAGCAGATGGGAACTCCCTCTCTGACTCAGATTCACATAAAACTCAGATGAGATGGTGTGTGTAAAGGAGGGGTGGCCCTTAGTCCTTGTTGGCCATTAGTGGTCAGCGCTGTTGAGGCAAGGCAGGGCTCTGTTTCAAGTGAGGCCACTGAGATTCGGAGAGATTAGCTGTGGGCGAACTGCTTGCTGCTGTGACAGCCGGTGGGACCCTGGCAGTGCCTCCAGACGGCACTCCTACCAGTCCTGGCTGCCTGGGAGGGCCAAGCAGGCTCCCAACCACCCGTCGTCCTGCAGGATGTGTGCCCCTGTGATGGTGGAGCTGGAGGGAGAGACGGATCCTTTGCTCATCGCCATGAAAGAGCTCAAGTGAGTCAGGCCTGATCCCGGCACCCTCCACCCTCACCTTAGTGGCCATGCCTTGGGGTGAGACGCGTTCCTAGGCGTTCACCCACCTGGCAGGAGGAGGGAGAAGACGGGGCGGGGGCAAGACCTGGGCCGTGTCCCTCCTGCTGCCTTGCCAGCCCTGTGCACCTGTGTCTCTCCCCTGCTGCAGGGCTCGCAAGATCCCCATCATCATCCGCCGCTACCTGCCCGATGGCAGCTACGAGGACTGGGGCGTCGACGAGCTCATCATCACCGACTGAGCTGGGCCCTGAGCCGGCTTGGTCTCCACCCTCCATTTTCTACATGTAAATAATAAACTCTTTAGTTTTTCAGCCCCTCCATCTCCCACTGTCTGTGGTGCTGCCACCTGCTCCTTCCCAGTTCCTGCCCTGCTGCCAGAGCATGCGCCTGTCGCAGGCACCCTTCACCCTGTTGGTCCCCCGCGTCCCTCCGTTGAGTCCCTGCTCACAGAGCAGAGGCTGCTGCAGGGGAGACACCTCAGCTGCCTCCCCACAGACAGACTTGTCTTTGTGCCCAGGGAGCCGGTTGCCACGGAAACCCCCAATTTCCTTTCCAGTGGGGACTGGCTGCAGGGGCTTCTCCCTTCTCAGGAGTATCACAGAGCAGGTCTCATCAAGCCACCCATTGTTTCCCAAGGACCTGCCTCTAGCCTCTTATCGGGGGCTGGGATCCCCTTTCAGGAGCAGGACTCCGGCAGGAAGTGTGGGGGTGTGCTGATCTCCCAGCCCCCCAAGCAGAGCCCTTTGGGGCAGTCAGCAGCTGGAGGAATGAGGACAGTACACCTGCTCGCCCTGCCGCTCTGGCCCCCTCCTGCTCAGGCCACTGCCCACGCTGGCCTTCAGGCCCAGCACGCTCGAGGCCCTGGAAGCTGTCCTCTCCCTCTTGGCAGGGAAGGGGGGTCCTGGGATTATGCCCACTTGGGTCTGGCCTTCCTCTGCCTTAGGTGCTGATGGGTCTCCCCAAACCCCACCTACGCATCCCTGGCTCCCTCCTGGGGGATGGAGAGGGAGCATCTTTTGACCAGCAGAGATGGAAAGGAGGATTGGTCCCTGAGTACGCTACCTGCTCCCCAGTGCACTGCCGGCTCCCCTTCCAGGCTCCCCTTCCAGGGCTCGTCCAGCCCCTGTAACATGGCAGCCCCCCCCCCATAGGGGCTCCGTGCACGGGGTGCAGGGAGAGGGTGAGTGTCCTGCTCTGGAGAAGGGTTAACTTGGGGAGCAGCGGACTTCGCACCCTTGCCACCCGCTGCCTCCGAGCCTTTGGAATCCTTTAATCAAGTTGGGTGCTGAAATTTCAGCTCTGAAATGTCGCCTTTGTGCTGGCATCCAGGGAGCTTGGGGGTCACTTTCTCGGCCCCATTTCTCTAAATGCTCTCTTTGTTCCCTGCTGGGCCACTCAGTATCAGATGTGATTAAAGGGAGATGGGGTTGGGGCAGGATGAGAGGAAGGGGGATTAACCCTTAGGGGATAGGGTGCAAGGGAGGGGCTTGGGGGAGAGAGGATGTTTGACCTTGCCTGCCCATTGTGCCTGGCAGGGAGTCCCTTTGCTGTTGACTTCTTAAATCTAAAGCTACCTGCCACTGCTGTTGGCCCATACTGCCCTGGGTTGGGGCCTATTCTGACAGGTGGATCAGGTGCCCTGCTGTGGTCCAGGAGTGCCTGTGCCGGAAGCTTCTGTGCTTCTTTAGGGTGTCTCAGATCTCTGAATGTCTTTTGTCTTCTGCCCTTCTTCCCAGTCACTTCCCAGTCGAAATGCATGTCCCGGAGGTGGTGGCTTCATCTTTGAAACGTGGCATTTATTTATTTTATTAATGATTACATGGTTGATCAGGGTGGGAAGGATTAAAGTTTAGGGGAAATTGGGTGAACTCATGTTTTCCAAATTTGCTATTTCTTTTTGTTCCTGAGAGAAGGGGAGAGACAAAGGGGGAAACCACTCACGACTTTCCACACATTCCAGTGCCCGGGATGAGGAACCGCCACCTCATGTCAACCCAGAGTCTCAGTGTGCACATATTCCAGGGGTTCTGTCCATGTGGCTCGGATAGTTCTGAAATGCTGCGGATTTCACCGCTCTGAGGATGGTGTCACCCTCCCAGTGTGCATTAGTCCCCATGGCCCTGCCTGCTCCCTGTGAATTCACCCACTGACGTCACGGCAGCAGATAGGCTGGAAGTGGACAGGTGTCCTGCCTCCAAGTGGAGGGAAGGTAGATTGTAGTCATGTGACTGCAGAAGGTCTGCACTGACCTCTGACAGAATTCTAGGAAAGGACTCTGAGAGCACTTTGTTAATTAGGGAGAGATCCAGGGTAAGCACAGGGTTCCAAGGAGTCTGGCGAGGTGGACCGACTCTTCTCACGTGGTGCCTGGTGGATCCAGGGCCCACCGCAGCCTCGGTTGGAGCATGTGTGCCCATGGTAATGAGATGGTCCCCAAACCGACCAGACTCATCCTAGGAGTTTTCAGAGTGCTATTGATGGAAAGAGGTATTTCATGTAGACACGAGGCCCTGTCCCTTCATGTCCACCTTTAGTAGTGGCCTGAGTGAAAATCATTCTGTTTTGCAGATTCATAAAGCTCTGAGAGAGCTGAGTTCCAAAAGATGGATTGCAGGCAGGGAAATGGATGAGCCCCAACAAGATGGGGTCTGCTAATGGTCCAATCACTTCTTGGCCTTTACCCACCCAAACAACGACGCAAAGCCCCCAAACCAGCGTAGCTACAGTTTGGATGATCTGACATTGCAGCAGATGCAACCTGAAGGAGCAGGGCTTTCCGTGGGCACCGATCCTCATGGGAGCTGGCAGTTTGGGGAGGTATCCTGAAGAGCTGGCAGCAGGCAGCTGCTGGACAGCAGGTGTTTGGCCCCCCTGGGATGGCAGGGCTAGGACCTGGGACCCCTGACTAGGACAGGCCACTGGACGCCATCGCTGGAAGGAAAGGGGCATGGTGTGCAGCAAAGAAGAAAAGTCTAGATTGGTGAGTGAGTGGGGCCCGTAAGCTGTGGGCAGGGGGGACACGGGATGAGTAAGAGGGTTGGTGCTAGGGTTGGAAATGTGCAGGCCTTCCCTGAGGCTCTTAGCTTCAGTGTCCCCTCTTCCCCCCACCAGCTTGATTGGACCCGAGGGAGTGACATCACACCCTTGACCAGAGGGCACTCCGGAAGTGGGCGCTCTCAGGAGGTGTTTCCAGCCATCATCCCTGAAGTTGTGTGCTAGCACTGTGGAGTGATTCCCTCTGGGCCCTGCTGAGGCATGAGCTCTTGTGGAGTAAGAAGTGGAATATGATGCTGCATATGTCTGATGGCCTCACTTTAGACCGGAACACAGGCACCTTAGCATGGGCTTCTGTGGGTCCCCTGGTGCTGGAGGAGGTGGCAGGTGGGGGGCCCATCCAATGCAGACTCTGATGGCAGGAGCTGGTAGGCTGCACCTACCTCTTCCCTCTGCTGTGTGAGTAGAGGGGCCGCCAGGAAGGTGGTGAGCTCCCGCTAGGTCTATTAAGAGGCATCAGTGGGAGAAGCTGCCCCCTGAGGTTCCTGTGCCCAGTCACTGGCACACAGTGGTCCACAGGGCCTGGCTGGGATGCCAGCTCTCCCAGCCCACTCTGTTGTCTTCTTCCTCACAGGAGAGCCCTTTGGCTGGTCTCTCCTTTTTATTGTCCTAGCTATTGCCAGGCTGCAGCTGTGGTTGCACAGGGCATAGGGCTGAGAGAGCAAGAGACAGGCCAGGGCAGACCCAGCAAGCAGGTAGCGGAACCTTTAATTTTATTACGTGGAATGCTTAATGCAGAGTTAATAGGGGCTGAAGGAGCTAGGAGACAGGGACTACTGAGATAAATAAGAAGGGACAGTCATGAGTTACACATGGGGTTGGGGGCGGGGAGCTGCAGAGCAGAAAGATAGAGCGGACAGCTACGCACTTTATTCAGATACAGCTAGGAGGCACAGGGCAGGAAGCAGGAGGCGAATGCACAGTCGTTGGGATCATAGCATCTGCAGCCTGTGGCCAGCAGCCCAGGCGCAGGGCCTCAGCTCCTCCTGGAGATGAGGTTGGGGCCTGAGCTGCCCTAAGTCTCTGGGAGACCCAGGGCAGTGGGACTGGCACAGCTGAGCCCACAGAATCAGTGAGGGACAAGGCAAGTGGTAAGGGGCCCAGGGAGGAAGGCTCCGTGGTCTGCCTGAGTCCTGCCCTGGAGCCTCAGCCTCCTCCTGAGGGGTTCCAGTGTCGCAAGGCCTGAGGGGCTCCAGTGGAAGCAGATGGGGTGGGGTGGGACCCTCTTCCTCCAGCAAAGATGTGAGGTTATTGGCACAGAACTGGGTCGGGGGTGTGGGGGGCGATGCTGCTGTGCCTGTGCCAATTCCTTCCTGCATTTAGGGGAAGAGGGCCTTTGGAGGGATGAGAATCCCTACTGGGCACCACCCTGAACCCTAACTCCCTACAAGGTCAAAGCCATCCTCAGCCCCTAGTGGCAGATTGAGCCAGCTCCAGGCACTGAGGCCCTGGGGACCCTAGCTGTTGGGTGCCACACACAATGGTCTAGGGACCTGTCAGCTCCCCCCCTCCCCATGGGAGGAAGTGAGAACTCATGGGAGAGACAAGGCTTTCGATGCCCATCAGCCCTGGGTGGTGCCCCCTGCCTGTCTGCCTGAAGAGCGGGTCTGGGTCCCTCCCGGGATCAGGCACAGCCCTTCATCTTGCAGTTTAGGGGCGCCTGTCAGCCTCTCCCTACTCAGCTGGCTAGCTGCAGCCCGGCCAGGGCAGGTGGGTCATAAGGGCAGTGAGCCACACAGAAAGGCTTCCCTCCTCCACCGGGCCTGAGATGGGCATGGAGCAGGGCACACGGGCAGACGGGAGGGGGTAGGGGACCCAGGGCAACAGCCCCCTTCAAGGCCGGGACAGTGTTGTATACACAGGCTGCTCCCAGTGTGTGGGGCTATGGGACTGGGGCCCCGAGGGGCTAGGGTCAGAGATGGCCGTGTAGAGGGGCCGCTGCGAGGGCCCCATGTAGGAGAAGGCCGAGTAGAGCCCGGAGGCCTGGCTGGAGTGGCCGTAATAGGGTCCTGAGGGCTGATGGTCAGAGTAGTCAAACTGGGGACGGGAGATGGACGGGAAGGCAGAGCCGTAGTGGGGCAGACTGAGGGAAGTGTAGGCGATCTGCGAGGTGGACGGCTGGTCGGTGTAGTGCGGGGGTCCCTGGGGCCCCGCCGTCTCTGTCTTCACCTGCGCTTTGGTATCCACACCAGATGGCGAGACTGTGGGCAGAGCCACACCTGGCGGCTTGGAGATCCAGGCGGAATGTCCACTGGCCACGGCCAGGGCGCTGCCCAGCCCATAGCCAGCTGCCGAGTAGCTGCCCACATGGCCCGGGTGCCCGTTGGGCGGCAGGTACTGGTCCAACTCAGCCACGTCAAAGGTCTCCATGTTGGACATGACCTCGTGGCTGATCTCGCCGATGTCCACGTTGCCGAAGTCGATGTGCGGTTTCCCGCCCTCCCCCATGGAGCGCCCATCCCGCTTGGGGTCTGCCTTGCCCGACTGCAGCTCTGTCTTGGGGGTGGTTGGAGGGGTGGGTGGGCCATGGCTCTGGCCTGGGAGGAAGGAGACAGAGAGCAAGGTCAGAGGCATGACAGAGAGCTGTTGGGGCGGGGCGGGGCAGTGAGGGGAGCTCTGACGTTCACCTTCAAGCAGTGGATGCCTCCCAGGGGCCAGGCCTGACCACTGCCTTGGCCTCAAGCTGGCATCTCTTTATCCATTGGTCCCGGTTGGTCTCTCATTGTTTATAAAAGTCCCAGAGCTTGGGGTAGGTCCTGCCCCCCCGCCCACTTTGTACCCACCCTTGTCACCCCCAGAGGGGAGGCCTGCTTTGGTGTGGCAACCATTCCTGTGGGCAGGTTCTCCAATCAGCAGAAGCCAGCTTCCCCAGCACCGTCCTGCCTGGCTTGCCACTCCTCTGCTGCTGACTGCCAAGTGGTCTGGCCTGGGGTGGGTGGGCCTCACTCCCCACCTTCTCTGTCTCCACCTGGGTCTTTGCTGGCCTTGCTTCTACTAAGCCTCACGCTTAACCACCCTCCTCACTCTCATCTAGCCCGTGTCACTCCCCACTTTAGCACCCCCCAAACAGGGCTGTGTGTCCCTTTGAACCCCACCCCTCCTCTCAAGTCTGCCTGCTGCTCAGTGACCCCTTAAGGTTGGGCCACTGGCCCTGGTTCCTTTGTGTGCCCACATGCCTACTCACATCCCCTGCAGCAGATGCCCAGGGGGCACTGCAAAGAGGTTAGGCATGGTGCCAGGGCGGGAATGGAAGGAGACCTAGTCCTGGCTCCTAAAGCTCACGAACTGGCCCCGATCTGGGAGTCATATGTGCCCAGTGTGAGAGGTGCTGTGATGACAGGAATGCCCAGAACTTCCTGGCAGAGCAGAGGAGAAAGTCACCCAGTGCTTTGGGGGCATGGGGCGTCTCACCAAGGCAGTGTGTCTGGAGGGCTGCGAGTGGTGAGAAGGCCGGGCTGCAGTTTCATTCTGAGCTGGTGGTGTGGTGGTGTGGTGTGTGTGTTGAGGAGGATGGCCTGGCTGAGCATCCCATCAGAGCAGGTGTGTACCAGGGCCGCCTCTGAGACCTGCATGGGCCAAGGGCTCTGCCCCTTGGAGAGGCCTGCCTGGGCTTTCATCCTGGCGCTCTCGCTGACTGCCAGCCCTAGAAAACCCCTAGATTCCTTGTCTCTAAGCAGATGGGGCTAGGCAGCTCCAATCTGGTATACTTGGTCAGAATCTGGTGGGTGACTGTGGGAGATGTGGACAGAAGCCTGTCTTGCTGGCCGGCCCTAGAGACCCTGCCCCTACAGAAGGTCAGAGATATTTTCGGTGCCCTGGTGTCTTCCTGGACTAAAGATCCCTGCTGTCCCCCTAGACTGTAGAGGGCTGGGTCCCCGGGCTTCCCTCGTGGGTGCTCCTCATTTCCATGCCCGTGCCTGGCACCAAGCAGGTTCAGAGCGTGTCCTTTAAGCCGTGCTTGCCCAGCATTCCACTATGTAAGACCTGGGCAGCTGTGTTCAGGAACACAAGCCATTTTCTCACACCCCATATGGTGCCAATAACCTGGGCCCAGCAGCTAAAGTCCTCATGTGGCACGCACCAGGATCTCATATGGGCACTGGTTCTAATCCCGGTAGCCCTGCTTCCCATCCAGTCCCCTTCCTGTGGCCTGGGAAAGCAGTCAAGGACAGCCCAAAGCTTTGGGATCCTGTACCCATGTGGGAGATCTGGAAGAGGCTCTTGGCTCCTGGCTTTGGATTGGCACAGCTCTGGCCATTGTGGCTGCTTGGGGAGTGAATCATTGGACAGAAGGTCTTCCTCTCTGTCTCTCCTCCTCTCTGTATATCTCACTTTCCAATAAAAATAAATGAATCCTAAAAAAAAAAAAAAAAAAAGGTGCCAATAACCTTGCACCTGGCAGAGACCCTGAGCCCCGTGCTTCACATGCCACTGAAGGCTGACTGAAGGAGTCGGTGCATATGTATGCATGTATACACAAACACACACACACAGCAACTAGCAAGGTGCTGGTACAGAGTAGGTGCCAGATGTACGCCAGCTTTGTTTCGTTACTAAGAATGCAAACACTCTTAACTAAGGCCTCCACAGCCCCCTTCGCCCAGGGGCAAGTCTCGCCTCTGCCCTGAGTGTGTTCTGGACGCTTGCTCCCAAAAGCTGGAATAGCTGCACTGCCTGGCGACCCCTTCTTGGGGTGCCAGGGGCTTCATGCCATCCAGCCTTCTGCCCCCTGCCACGGTTTCCCCAAGTGCAGCTCTGGGCTCTGCATCTTCCCTGTCCAGCACTCACCTGAAGGGTGTTCAGGGTTCCCATCGGACATGGGGGAGCCCTCACCAGGGTGCCGGTGGTCCAGGTGGGCGCTCTTGTAGTGGGCCTGGATGGCGGCGGCTCCGCCTGGCTCGGCCTCGCCCCCGGGACACTCGGCCTCCCCTTGGGTCGCTTTCCCGTTCTTCCGCCGCCGGGGCTGGTATTTGTAGTCGGGGTGGTCCTTCTTGTGCTGCATCCGGAGCCGCTCGGCCTCCTCGATGAAGGGGCGCTTGTCACTCTCATTCAGCAACCTGGGGTTGGGAGTGCATAGGGACGAGGTCTCTGAGTGTTCCAGCCCCCGCTGAAAGCCCACAGGGTGGGACACCTCCCCCTGAGGTGGCAAGCTCATGGTGGTTTATGCACTAGAAGAAGCAAAGCCCAAGGAACAGCAGCCTGGCGCCCCGGCCTTTTGAGTGACAGGAGGATCTGCTCCAGAGGAGAGGACAAAATCCTCACCGCCCAGGCCGTATGCAGGTGGAAGTGGCTGCTGGGTTAGGGGAGAGCTCCCTGGGACTGGAGCCTTGCCCCGCGTCTCCTGCCTCTGCCTCAGTGTGGGTGTGTGTTACATCGCAGCCTATGGAGCACCTGGGATGATGCTGCCTACTGGCCTGCGATGTGGAATCCACCTGAATGGGGATGCGCAGATCCTCACATGAGGGATCCCCTGAGACAGGTGCTGCTGTGTTGTGTGGGGACCATGGCACAGTCCTCAGCTCTTCTGTATTGCTTTGGTAAAGCCCAGAGGGGGCTGGTCATCTGCAAGAGATGCTGTATCCTTGAAGAAGGGGTGAGGGGAGACGGGGAAGCTAAGATCTTTTCCCAGGGGGATGACAGTCCCTAGGAACATGCCCTGCCCACCTGCCTGGCTCCAGCTTCCAGTCCCAGGGTACTAGGATGGGGGAGGGGGAAGGACTCATTCAGATGAGGTACTGTGTGCCTGCCAGAGGCAGTGGGAGCCATCCCTCCCTCTCCCCAGGGGCCCTCTCTATGGCTCCAGCTGGTGGATGGGTGCCCTGTCCCCCAGTGGCAGCTCCGCCAGACAGCTGGGAGAGGGTGGTCCCATCAGGCGCCTTGCTCCAGCCGCCAGGCCAGCAGCATTCCTCCGCAGCTTAACCTGCCACTCAGCCCTGCCCTGGCTTGCTCCAAAGGGCTTTGGGATTGATGCTCACCCCAGCACGGCCCTGGGAGGCAGAGAGTGGGATGTAGGTGCCATGACCCGGAAGAGGATGTCAGGGAAGACAGGCCAGGCAGAAGGGGTTCAAGCAGAGAGTTCCCAGAGCTGGGCACCAAACTCGCTGTCACACTGTGTCTGTCCTTATTGCGTCCCCTGTCCCCACTGGGCAGTGATTAGCCTGACAGTGGTGGGGAAAGGGCTTGCCTGGGTCAGAAGGGATCCCAACTTCTTCCCAAGTGAGTTTCTGGCAGTTGCCTCACCCAGAGCCACTGCCAGCCCGGACCCCATCACCACCTCTGGCACCAGCTGGCTCTGTTCTGTGCTGCTCTAGCCCTGTGTCCACTCTACCCTGCTGTGTCCCTGCCCCCTTCTTCTGACTAGCCCTCACTCCACGTCTTGCCAACCTTAGCTGGAACTGCAAACTCAGTGCGTCCTCATTTCTGCCTTCATATCAGCCCCCTGTCCTCTTGGGGAATGGCAGGACAGAAGTGGGGGTGAGGGGGATGCTGGATCCCCCGCAAATCCTGATGGCTGTGGCTGAATCTGCTCTCTTGCAGGGGGAGGAAGCAGATGGGACTGCGGGACTGGATAGGTTGGTGAGCCCCATCATGAGAGAGGCCCCCACCCTTAGCTCTGACTGTTCCTGGCAGATCAGCACCCCCACCCGCTCCCCACACATGCTCCACCTTACAGGTTCGGGGCGTGCCCATCAGATCATTCCTGTGCTCAGGTGGGTCTGACCCCACACCAGGCAGGGCACCCCACCCAGCCTGCCTGCACGCATGTTGAGTCTTGAGACCGCTATCTTCCTGCTGGGTCTACTTGCCCACCCTCCTTCCTGGTATCCAGGAGTCTTGAACTTGACAGGGCTGGGTTCCAGAAGTCTCCGGAGTGAGGCTGGCCATCCTAGCTCACACTCAGATGTTTGCCAGGACCCTCCAAGTGCAGGTGGCCACGACTTTGGGGCCTGTTGCGGTCCCACTACCCTCCTGTCCCTGAGGTTGGCTCCTCAGCCAGCAGGGGAATCTCTAGCCTGACAGTCCTGCCCAGGTGGGCTCCTATGCTCACAACTTGAGTATTGGCCACAAGCCAGGCCAACCCATGACAGAGTACTGGAGGAGGTAGGAGAGTCGGGGTCCCTCCTTGCTTTATCTGGCTGGGCTCATGGGCCCCGGGGCCTGTTCCATTTGCCTCCCTCTTGGCCGTGTTCCTCAGTGGCTCTTTGTCCCACAGCCCCAAAGGCATGGCGCTCTTGGCCTGGGCCAAGCCCCACCCAGGTCTGTAGGGACTTTGGGCTGGGTAGCCAGCAGTGGCCTCCACTCCTGGCAGAGCTGGACATTCAGCAGCTGGTCAACCAGGCCTGGGCTTGCCCAGGATGAGCAGGGCCCGGGGCTGGCCGTGGGAGGGAAAGGGGACACTAGGCAAGCCCGTGGCAAGGACGGGTCAAGGGGTTGGATGTGGGGCTCCTCCCCCATAACTCTCAGCCTTAGGGGACCCAGATCTGCCCCATGGCTGGGCCCAGCAAGGGGGAGAGAGTGACACAGCCTGAGGTTCTTACAGTTGCCATGTATGTTGCCCCTGCCATCTTTGTCACTCTCACCTCCCTGCCCTCGACCATGCCTTGGATGGAAGGGTAACATGCCACCATCCCCAGGGTCCCCAGTGACAGTGAAGAACCTTGGGCCCTGGCTCTGCCACCCCCTGCTGTGTGCCCTTCCGGGTGCCCCTGCCTTTCAAGGTCTCTCTCTGGCAGTCTGGTAGAGAGCAGGTAGGCGCTGCAGGTCCCTCTCTCTTCCCTCTTGGAGCTGGCTGAGGATTCCTGGGGTGGGGGTGAGGGTCCCCTGCATTGTACATCCCGCAGGGGCCAGGTCAAGCTGGTAGCCAAAGCCCGCAGACTTTCTGTTTACAGGGATGTTTTCCCACGCAGGAGTGGGCTTGGCCCACCCCAGGTAGGGGACCCCGGGACAGGAAGGGGGCCACTGAGGGCTCCTGGCCAGCTGGAGGGCTCAGCTCCAGTTCCGGGCTTTAGGGAAGAGGTTACTCAGGGTTGGGTGGGGCCCCAGGAGGAAAGATGGCGCTCAACCAGGAGAGTGAGGAAGGACGCGGTGGCCCTGGTGGAGGTGAAGGGTCTCCTGTATGTCCCTTGCCTCTCAAGGAAGTAGCAGCTGCCCCCTGCCCAAATGACCAGGGGAGTTGGGACCCAGCGGAGACGGGTGGGACAGGGTGAGAGCCCTCTCCCTCTCCCTCCCCCTCCTAAAGACGCATGAGAATTCCTTATTCCTTCCCTCTGACTTTGCAAAACTGCCTGCCTCAGTTTCCCCTCATCTCCAACCAAGCCCCTGGTTCTTGCCCAAGTCTTTCTCTCCTCCTCCGAAGGTCCTCCTGACGACTGGGATTGGTGGCAGTGGCCCCCCTTGAATCTACAAGGGGTTAGTGGAGTGCCTGGTGGTGTGCTGGGAACTCCCCAGGCCCAGCCCAGGAGGCCCTAGTGCTGCCATCGGTGGAATTCCAACCGCAAGGGGGCGTTTTCCCCGCTGCCACCCAAGGGTGGGGTGCCAAGGCTGCTGCAGTTCTGAGTTCCGGGGTCGCCAGAGGTGGGGGACCCTAGGGAACGCTTGTGGAAGAGGGGTAGGCAGGGTCCCCACACCTGATCCTTCAAAGAGGTGGCTTCCCCCCCCCCCCCCCCCCCCCCCGCTAGTGGAGAGAATGGTCCTCCCACCTCCCCGCAGTCGGTGCCCCTGGGGTGAGGGTGGGGAGGCCTGGGGCCAGCTGGCAGGTCGGGGAGTGCTCACCTCCAGAGCTTGCCCAACGTCTTACTGAGCTCGGCGTTATGCAGGTGCGGGTACTGGTCGGCCAGCTTGCGGCGTGCCGCTTGCGCCCATACCATGAACGCGTTCATGGGCCGCTTGACGTGCGGCTTGCTCTTGCTGGCGCCGTTGACGCGCACCGGCATGGGCACCAGCGTCCAGTCGTAGCCGCTGAGCACCTGGCTGACCGCCTCGCGGATGCACACGGGGAACTTGTCATCGTCCGTTTCGCCACCGGGCTGCTCCTTCTTGACCTTGCCCAGCTCGCCGGGCCCCGGGCTGGCTCGCAAGCCTGAGCCGCCGCCGTCGGGCCCCAGCGAGGTTGCGCTCCCGGGGGACAGGCAGCGGGGCTCCTCGGAACCCACGGGACTCAGCTCCACCTCCGACAGGTCCTGCTCCTCCGCCATGTCGCCCCTGGACGCCGCCGCCTCGGCCTCCTCCCCCGGGCCCACCGCGGGGGTCCTCGCGAAGAGTCCAACGCCCACCTGGACGGGGAAGGAGGGCGCGATGGAGTGGCCGGCTAGGCTGGGTTCGCAACGCGGCGCAGCCCCGAGGGGGCGGCCGTCCCTGGTGCTCACGCAGCCCCGGCCCGGGCTCTCCTGACCCTAGGTGGGCGCGACCCGCCTCCTAGCCTTCCCACCACCTGGTTCCAACCGTCTCTCGCGGTGTGGGTGGGTTTTTCTCTTCAACCCTTCTTTTGGGTGGAGGTTTGTTGATGGAAAGGCAGAAAAACGGACCCTTTCTTCTGCTCTAATCCCGGTCCCTGGAATTTCCCACCTCTTCTCTCACCTTTCCTCTTTGCCTTCCGCTCCACCACCCGGCCCGAATGGAGAGGGGCTGTCGTGAGCGCAGTGCGGGGTGCCAGTCTCTCTCTCTCTCTCTCTCTCTCTCTCTCTCTCTCTCTCTCTCTCTCTCTCTGTCTCTCTCTCAGCAGTAGCAGCGTGGTAAGGCCTGGTTGGCCAGGGAGGGCCAGAAGCTGCGCACTCACCTCCTCGGACCTCTCCTCCAGCCTGGGGCTGGTCCTCAGGAAATAGAAAACCGAGTCCCAAGGTGTGCAGTCCAGCTCGGGGGGCTGGGGTGGGGGTGAGGCGGGCCGCCTGGGAGGGAGGGGCCGAGGGGGCCCTGAGCTTCAGGCCACGGCCTCTTGGGACGGAGCCTGGATCCCCAGCAGCAGCCACCCTGGCCGGACAGCTTGAGACTGACTGAGCGACTGAGCCGCAGGCTGCAAAGGGCTGGGGAAGGAAGGGGGGGAGTGGGGGAGGGGGAGGGGAGGGAGGGAAGGGTTGAAGGTGGAGCCTCCCAATGCTTTCCTCTTCATCCCTAACACTCAGGGCTCCTCCACCCTGCTCCCAGCAGCCCCCCCCCCACACACACACATACCCTGCCGGGGCATTGCTGTCCAGGCCCATCTCTGCCCAGGCTGAGCACACAGCTTAGGTTGAGGGGTAGAGAGAGACCTGTGAGGAGGAGATGCAGGCTGCTGGGCTGGGAAACTGTTGCTGGGAAGAGAATTGGGCCCAGCTGTTTTGCCCGTTCGAGTTCTGTGTCAGGTGGAAAGGTCATAGCGGACAAGGGACGGGCAAGGGAGCCACCTGTGTGAGTGGTGCGGACAAGGGACGGGCAAGGGGGCCACCTGTGTGAGTGGTGGGGCAGTAGTGCCACCCCCTTCCCCCACCCCCAACCTATGTGACTGAGTCTCCCACTCCCCCAGCCTCTGCCCCCAACTACCGCTACCGTCAAAGGCAGACCTTAGGTCCCTTCCTGGCAAGGTGAAGACCCTCCCTGGGCAGAGCAGGTGCCCCCTCCTCACTCCGGCCCCTTCTCTCCAGTTGCCTGCCCCCTGTCCCAGCAGGGATAGACCTGGGAGACCTAAGACCAGTGCGGTTCCCCAAGGCTGAGATCCCACAGGACAGGCCTGGGGGGCCTGCCTTAGGAGACCTCACAGGTATTGGGGGCTGCTGCTTCTGGGGAAGGAGAGTCAGGTTGTCCTACACTCACATACACACAGCCCATTCCCTCCTCCTTGCCCTGCTGGCCTGTCCTCACCCCTTCTCATTCTTTTCCCAGCCATCACCCTGCAGCTCCTCTCCGATCCCTCCCGTAGGCCTGGGCAACAAGGCAGGTGGGCTGCGTGTGTAGGGGGGCAGAGGGAGCCTGGATCCCCTTGACTATCATGTGTGTTTCTGACTTCCTCTGCAGCTGGGGGAGACCCCAGGCCCACCCTAAAGGAATTCTGCAGGCACTGGGGCTGGAAAGGGGGTCTGGGGAGACCCGACTATGGGCTTGGTGGTGGGGAGTTGTCAGTGGGACACAATGAGGTAGTCACACGAGGCAGAGGCATGTTGGGGGGTGGGGGTGATGTACATTGGAACACACACACACACACACACACACACACACACACACACTTGCACACTCAGACAATCGGGCCAGTGTGTCTGGGGCCTCCGTGCCCAGTGAATTAGGAGTTTGATAAGGGTTTCCTCTTTCTCTCGCTCACTGGCCTTGGACAATCTCCCCCCAGTTTTTCTCGACGCCACCCCCGGCGCTGCCAACCCTCCTCCCCCCGCCCCCCTTCTCTTCCCTGTGCCCAGACGCTTGTTCGGGGCCTTGAAACAGTGAGCTGTCTTTGTTCGAAATACAGGTGAACGGCAATCATGTGATGAACACACACGCACATAAAAAGCTTTTTAACAGCGCCCGCCCGGCCTCAGAAGCACCCGGAGAGGAGCCGCCCTGGACAGAGCGAGGGACTGAGGGACACGCATCCTGCCGCTCGTGGCCCGGCTGCCCCGCAGTCGTCTCCGACACCCGCTGCTGCCTGCCCAGCATCTGTCTCTTGCGGTGGGTCCCTGCTCACGCTTATACCCTGTGGTCCCTCCTTTCCCCGCCACCACCACCACCGCGCGCCTGTTCGCCAGGCCCTCCAGCACCCTGGGGCTGGAAGGGGTAGCTGTGGTGGGAGAGGGCGAGGGCAGTGGGTGTAGGGTTCTTCTCCAGCTCCCTGCCCCCCTTTTATCCTCCTTGGCCCAGCTGTGCCAGGGAGGGAGTGGGGGTAGCAGGGGAGTGTGCTCTGCCTGTGTTGAAGCCACAGAAGACAGGGGGTTATCACACAGACCCCGGTTTTCTTGTGCTGAGAGGTGCAGGCTGAGGCAGGTGGGGGCCTTGGCAGGGGGAGCAGGCAAAAGGCCGTCAGATGACCAGCACTGTGTGTGTGTGTGTGTGTGTGTGTGTGTGTGTGTGTGTGTGTATGTGTGGTTGGTGGGCCCCTCCTTCCCCTGCTGCCAACACATCCTCATGCACCCTGCCCTGCTGCCAACTGGGATCCTCTCCTTGCCCTTCCAGGCACTGAGGATCCAGTTCTCTCCAGCAAGGGAAGGGAAAGCCACCCCCCCCCCCCATTCATCTCTGGAGAGCAGGGGAAGGGCAAGAGGGCAGGTGGGGGGACTTGTTCCTGGCGGGATGGAGTGGGAAAGGCTGCTGTACTCTGTGTCCAGGGGTGCTTAGGACCCCTCTGTCCCAGCCCCAAGGGGGAAGGTGTGGTGCAAGTGAGTGTGCTAGCTGCCCCCTTCTTGCAGAGGGGTCCTGGGGCCAAAGTGGGTGCTGCAATCCAGGAGGCCTTCCTGGGCTCCAGTCCTGAAGGCCGCTGGTCCCACATCTCCCAAGACAAAAGGAGGGAAGCCAAACCCCTGTCCCTCCACTGGGAAGCCCACCTATCAGGGAGGCCTCCTCCGGCCAGCAGGGACTCTTAACACTTTAGCTCTGAAGCATCTTCGTAGGGGACATGCTGTGCAAAAGACCTGCCTGCAGTTCCCCTCTAGTGCCCCAGGCCCCGCCCCGCTTCCCACCTGGCCCTCCCCACCAGCACAGGTCTCTGAGCAAGGTTGGGAGATTACTGTTGGATACAGCCAGGCAGAGAAGGAGGGTTCTGACCAAGCTGAGCCTCTGCCTGCCTCAGTTTCTCTACATGGGCACCAGAGCCTTGCTGGCTTCCCTGAGAGGGACAGAGCTGGCCCAGGGAGCCCAGCTGTCCCCTCACCCCTTTCCTCCGGCCTGTCAGGAACTGGCTTATGCTTTTCAAGGGAGAGGTGCACCCCATTCTCCACATGGGGTGGGGACCTGAGACTCAGCATTTCTGCCAAGCCCTCGCAGGTAGCTGCAGAATATGTGGTGGGGTTTTGGGGTGAAAGGCAAATGCCTAGACTCTCTCCCCTCCATCGCCATGAGTGTTCATGTAGAGTTGGGGATGAGGGGCAGATCTCTGCTTTCTTGACACAATACCCCTCCTCCAAGCCCTGCTGGAGGCTGTGGGGACCCCTTGCAGAAACCCCATCTCTACAGAGAAGGAAAGGAGTTGGTCCATGAAGTCCAGGGCTGGAGGTCAATCTGCAGGCTACACTGGGGTATGGTAAGCGATGGGTGGGACAGAGTCATGGCAGGGGGAGAAAGATGGGGAAGGGGTGTCCCTAAAACCTGTTTTATTTTGCTCCCCAACCCCAGAAGGCTTCATCATCTCTGTTGTGTGGGGGAGGAGGTGGTGGCAAGTCGGGCCTGGGGCACTGTCTCCCTCTTGGGCCTTGGCTTTTGTGCATGTAGACATGGAGGATTTTGTCCACCTGCTGTGCCCCAGGTAGATGAGGGAATTAAACCCCACACATGGATATGCAGTGGTAGAGAAAACCACTGCCATGCCAGGCCTCCCCTACTGAGAGCCAGGAAGAGTGTCAAGTGCAGCCAGGGTGAGCCCAGCCTCACTGTGTATAATCCACTTGTTGGTTCAGGGAGAACCGAGGACAGAGTGTGTGGCAGAGGCAGGGGTGGGGGGCTCTACAGTTGGCACTTCCCTTATGCCCAGGCAGTGCCAGTTTGCTCCTGAGTCCTCCCCACAACTGTCAGAGTAGATGCTGCTCTTCTCTGAAGGAAACTGAGGCATGAAAATGTCCAGGGTTGGGCCTGGGCTCTGGTGATGGTGCCTGCTGGAGGCTCACCTTCTAACTCTAACCCTCACCCGTTCCTGGGCCTCCATGCTCCTGGGAGATTTCACTGCAATTCTTCAGCTCTGCTACCTTCCAAGGTGTGTGTGTAGGGGTAACTTTAAGGGTGCCATACCTCCTCCCTGCATGGCCCAGGTCCCCACCAGTGCATGCTGCCTGGCAGAATCCTCCGAGGGGTTCCCCTTGCCTTCCTTCTGGGTCTTGGCTTCCCTAGCTGGGGTGGTCCCCCACGACCACAGGTCATCATCCTGAGCTCCCAGGGAGGAGGGGAAGAGAAAGCAGGGAGACTGGAGAGGGCTGGAGAGGGCTGGCAGCATACTCCTGGCTGGCCCCAACAGGGAACTGCCTCTGCCTCACCTCCAATGTGAACTGAGGGTCCATGATGGTGTAGGGACGGGGCCTCTGGAAAGCAATTCTGAGGCTCTGAACTGTCCCCCCACCAATCCCCTTTCTCCTGGCTCCCTTTCCACTCCACCCAGGGAAGCAGAAGCCGGGGCCAGTGCCCCTTGTTGCCTCAGCAGTCTGACATCTGTCCCCTTCTTAGAAACCTTCGGACACTGGTTGCTGCCGAACACACACAGTCCCTGCGTGCTGCTGGGAGCTTTGTGAAAGTGGCTTGGCTACCCTAGACAGGGGTGGGGGTGGGGTGGGGGGGAGTCAGGGAAGAAGGATAGGACCAGCCCCTGACCTTGAGTAGTCGGGAGAGACCTGTATGGCGACTCAGACCTTGCCCCCACCCCACCCCGACTTCAGGCCTCAAGACTTGGCGGCCATCCGCATGTCTGTTTTCTTTCCTGGCCTCGGTTTTTCCACTGGTAAAAGGGGCAGGGCGGGCTAGGTGACGTGCAAGAGGATTTCCGGATTTGGTAACCTGTGAGCCAGATTTCAAAACGAGAGGCTGGTGGCTGAGCCATCGTTTGGAGTTCTGCCTCCTATCCTGGCTTTCTGCCTTCTCTGTTGTTTGACCTGTCATTTTTAATTTTAAACACTTGGTTTTATTTTGTTTGAAAGGCAAAGGGAAAGAGAAAATGAGAGCTTACATCACTGGTTCATGGGGCTGCAACGACCAGAGCCGGGTCAGGCCAAGATAGGAGGTCAGAGCTCAGTCTGGGTCTCCCTGTGGCCTTCAGGGACCCAAGTGCCTGAGCCATCAGAGTGCCGGTTTGAATCCCAGTTGTACCGTTTCTGATCCAGTTCCCTGCTAATGTGCCTGGGAAAGCAGCAGGAGATGCAGCCCATGTCCTTGGCTCCCTGCACCCAGGCTCCTGGGTTCAACCTGGCCCAGCTTCTGGCCATTCTGGCCATTCGGGAAAGTGAACCAGTAGATGGAAGATCTTTCTCTCTGTGTGTGTCATTCTGCTGATCAAATAAATAAAATAAATCTTGTAAAAATCCCATCCCTAACAGGTCTTCATAAGCATCCATCTTTATTAACACTTGGCGTGGTTTCAAGTAAATACAGTTCCCCCTCATTCCACACAGCAGGTGCTGGGGTTGGCTGTTTGGGCACCTTGGTGCCCACCAGGGCTGTGCCATCTAAGGACTGACGTGTCCTCCTTTCTCTCCAGGTCTGCTCTACCTAGCTTGTCTTTGGCTGGGAATTAGCAGTGTTGGGCCTGGGCAGGCGGCTGGGCTGATTAGAACATGGTCCCAGTCCCACAGGTCCCTGTGTCTCTCTTAGCTGGAGTCCTCACCTCCTTCCCATCCCTCCCTCCTTCTTGCCTCTCTACCCCCACCACTGGGCCTGCTGCTTCCTTCTTTCTCCCTCCCAAAGTTCAGAGAACCAAGTGGGGTGCTCCCTGACGACCTCTGACCCAGGGCAGTCTTGGATGTCACTCACCCTGTAACCCTGGCCCAGAGCTTGGCAACCCTCATAAAAAACCTTGCACCTGCTTGACCTAACCTGCAGACAATGTCCATCAACACTGGGCCAGTGCCTGGCTGCCAAGGGCCCCTGTGTCCTCAGGGACCTGCTGCAGGGTGGCTGCCTATTAACCTTGTCTCACCATCCTCATGGCTTGTTTTCTTCTGGTGCAAGTGCTGTCCCCAGATGTCCCCCTGCTTACTGCCCCAGGGACCCTGGAGGCTGGCTGAGCAGGGATGCAGTCACCATCCCACTGAACCAAATAGGAAAGAAAGTGAAGAATGGTCACGTGACTGCCCACTGCAGGCACTTGGACATCTCTGCTGGGCTTGGGCCTCCCAGGCAAGGCTGTGCTGTGGCTGGGGTCAAGGTGGGCAGGCAAGCACTCACCTTGTCTTCATGGAGCCTCTGCAGATGTCCGCAGGCACCTGCCTGGACGAGAGGGGGTAAGGTGCGGACACTGGTGAAGACAGAGGGAAGGAGAAGGCTGGTCTTTTATTTGAAAAGCAGAGTGACACATGGAGAGAGGGAGATAGAGGGCTTCCATTGGTACATTCAGTCCCCAATGGCCACAACAGCTAAGGCTGGGCCAGGCCCAAGGCAGAAGCCAGGCACTCTATCCACAGTTCTCCTTGTGGGAGGCAGAGACCCAAGGAGTTGGGAATCATTTGCTGCTTTCCCAGGTGCTTTAGCAAGAAGCTGGATTGGAATCAGAGCAGATGGGAGTCAAACTGGGGCTCCCTAGATGGGATGCCAGCATGGCAAGCTGCAGTTTATCCTACTGTGCCACAGCACCGGTCCCAGTGGCTTTGTCACCTTGATGGCTAGGGACACCTTGGGGGGCACTGGTGCTGCCCAAAGTCCTGTCTTTGCAGGTGGGCGACTGGAAGAGAGTGGCAGCCTTCCTCTCTGTGGGTGGAGTTGGGGCACGTGTCCAGGTAGCCTGGCCTAGCAGGTGGCAGCTAGACCCTGTCCTGTTGCCCTGGATCCCTTGTCATCTTGCCCCGTCATCCAGAGCATCAGCAACAGCACCAAGGCTGGACAGGACAGGCTGGGATGCCTGACATCCTCTCGTTCTCCCAGGATACACTTCTGCCCTTAGAAGTAGAC